ATTAGACGGCTCTGTATGCAATGTTGCGTTGATAATCCCTGCAGATTTTTGTTCGCGCTCTTGATCTGGATGAACGCTTAGTCGGCGTTGCCTTCCTAGATGTTGGCGTCTACGTTACATCACTCCGCTCGATGAAGAATCTTCTCTTGATCGGGGATGCTGTGAAGAGCGTCTGGTTGGTGGCTTTCCAAGTACGACGTTTGCATCTATTCTGTGTTCTCTTCTGAACAAGCGTTTCGTAGGAGGATCCGTATAAACTCGTCACACTCGCAAAGGACGTGCGAAAGAGGCATGCCACAACTGTGGACTTCTTCTTTGCCGGGGGAGATCTGGCCATCGCTAGCGAAGACGAAGAAGGGGTCCTAAGGCTATTTGCATATGACCCTTCCGGTGAGTTACCTTGGTCAGAGCACGATGAAACTGTAATCTGAGAATTTTGGTTTTTGATTGAAAGATCTCGAGTCTAGAGGAGGTCAACATTTATTGTGCCACACAGAGTTCCACGGTCATAAAGAGTGCCGTTCGACCATCATGATTGCTCGGCGCACGAAAGACGAACAACTCATTCCTCAAGCAAAACTGGTGTCTGGTGAGGCTTGTATTCTATCTGCATCGATGATGTATCTTATTCGATTGGCAGGATTTACGGACGGATCCCTATCAACCCTCACACCTGTAGATGAAGCTGTTTTCAAACGACTACAACTTTTGCAAGGGCAGCTGGCACGAAATGTGCAGCACACTGCTGGATTGAATCCAAAAGCCCATCGGTGAGTATTTCTGTGTTTGCGCTGAGTTCTTCACTGATAACTCTGTTAGAATTGTGCGAAATGACGCCGTGTCCAAGCCTTTGTCGAAAAATGTCCTTGACGGCCAACTCCTTAGCGAATTTCAAGTCTTGGGTATCAGTCGCCAGAATGAAATCACGCGACAGATTGGCACAGAGAGAGCTCTTGTTTTGCATGACTGGTCTTCTCTCATTGTTCCATGGTAGTGAGAATTTCAGTATCTATTATTCTGACCTGCAATATATTGTGTACAATGGCAGTCCTCCCTTCGTCACGCTATACCGAGCTCTCGTGCCAATATCTGAAGACCCTGTATCATAGTATTTGTCAAATATATATAGACCAGCAGAGAAAGGTGGAGCTTACCAGGTGTTTACTGAAGAAACGCGCGGCTCCAAATGGACCCACAGCGAACCAAAGTCCCGGATGTCCAGAGGGCCGGTATGCCTGATTAAGTTCTCCCTCCGAGTCAAGGCCCCACACCTCAGGCGGAAGAAGTTGATCGGTAATCTCTTTGCCAAGAAGAGCTCTTGCGGTCTTCATGATGGGTTCATTTCCTGTACTGCAACGTGCGTGAGAAGGATCGACGAGAAACTACCAGTCAGACCATACGCTAGGACGATAACGTCTGCTGAAAGCTTAGAGCCGTCTTTAAACGTGATCCCGTCTTTGTCGAAGTGACTAATGTCTTGGCCTTGCTTTACCTACACGCATATCGCGACCGTCAGCTACAGCCCCTCAGAAAATAGATACAAGTCATACCTTGACTCTGCCTTCGATGATTAGCTTACCACAGCCAATGTCAAGCACTGTGTATTAATTGCAATGTCGCCCGTCTCGGGAACCAATCTAAACGCACTAGTTCCTGATCCAAGACGGCTAAACAAAAATCCTTCTATCCCAACCTCGCCACTACCGGGTGAAACTTCCCAAGTTAAGTTGAATCCAGCCTGGCGCAGACCGTCGTGGAGTTCCTGATCCAACATCTTCATGTGTCGGATCCCACCTGATTTTGTCAGTTGCAGGAGGAAGGCTAGAGGCATTGAATTGCCGCGGAAATCCAGTTCCTCGATAGGGGTGCTATTGGGGTAAAGTGACTTGAAGCGAGTTTTCTCCATGGCAGCAGAGGATACAACACATGTGGCGCTTCTTTGGACCAACGTTACCTTTTTCCTTCTTATGAAAATATGACTTTAGTGTATTCCAATCCATAGACGTACCTCAGCGGCACCGTGTGCTACGAAATCTTGACATATATCCGCGCTAGCATTGCCCTAACGGTCTCGTGAGTACGCACGCAGTATAAAAGTGCACAGATACGACTTACCGCACCCACAACGATGACACGTTTGCCTCGGAACTGCTCCGCATCCTTATGGAAGTCAGAATGATACAAGGCTCCTTGGAATTCATCTATTCCACTCCAGGTAGGAATGTGAGGGCTCCCGCTTCCTGTGGCGAGGATCAAGTGCTTTGGATTGAGGATCACTTTCTGATCTCCATGCTGTACTTCTACAGTCCATCTTGCGGATAATGACTCATATGTTGGAATTGAGGTTATGGTACTGGAGAGCCAGGTCCACAATTCCTGATTAACAGCGTATGACTCCAGGAAATCGGCCAATTTCCCCTTAGGAATGTACTTTGGGAAGTTTATCCTAACATTGTTCAGATATGCGATACCTTTGGACCGTGGGAAGCACTTACGGATAGGGACTGTAAAGTACTGTATATTCATTAGCACCAAGCCTGTGAAGAGATAATAAGACGTACTGGAGCTTTGAGACGCGGGAGTATGCAACGTAAGATTGGGGTACCTGTGTTTTGCATTATTTAATAACGAAGATATAGATATACTATCGTTCATGCATACCGTTGCCTCCAGCAGTCTCCGACACGCGCATCTTTCTCGATTATAAGTGCACGGATCCCCAACATACGTAGCCGCGCAGCACACATAAGGCCAGATTGACCACCACCAACTTTTTATAACTCGTCAAAACACTACGATTCATAAAAGAAACGGCACACCGATTAAAACAGTGGGATCCGCCTCGATAGCACGGCATTTTGCGTCAACATCCTCCTCCCAAGTTATTTCGCGATCCTCATATAAACCGTGTTGGTTTGGGGGAGACTCTTTGTGCCCGACGAGGTCCTGCATGTTTGTGAAAAGAGTTAAAGCCTTCCACTTCTTATCGGCATCCTGCATCAGACGGAAGAAACCTCGTCCGAGCGCAGCCGGATTCGTAATACTAAAGGTGAAAGCACCTTGTACTCCTTCGATGCCTGGTAACTTGAATGGTGAAGGCGCATTGATAGTGTGATCGTCTATCTTGAAGTCACGGAGACTAGAATACTCAAGTCGCGACTTTCCGTCAACAACCTGCGAGAGAAATTCGCGTATTTTTTCTAGACCTGATAGTGTTCTGTGATTCCAAGAAAAACATAGGAGATCTGAGGGTACTTATAAGCTAGTGCGCCTCACTTGCTTGGACAAGCACTGACCTCTGAACCACCCGTCCGGAAGGAAATGGTTCACAAATGACACAGTGTCTCCAGTGGACGATGCGACCTCTAGGCTTTTGAGCCAATCGGTGGAAATTGAGTGAAGGTCCTCTGAAGCCATGTCGGTATACGGGCAGATAGTAGAGGGTGAGTATATCCTACTAGTACGCGGATGTATAAACTTAGAACTCTGAACGAAGAAGATTCTCCAGCTTACACCGCACGATACTACTGTAACGCCACGACATGGATACTCAATTGGCTAGCCTGAACGGCATGACAGTGCCCAAATGGACAGTGCTAGGTAACTAGGATGCATTTAGCCCTTGGCTGATCATGAAGATGAAACTGAAGAGTATACAAAGTAACAAACCACCAGCGCTGGCAATCAAATTCAGAATCCAATAGTCGAAGTAAACAAGTGTTCAATTTTGAGGGAACGAGTTTCCTGACAATATGGTATGTGCATAATGGGCACTTGAAAGGAGACGATAGAATGGAAGGGGTCGAGTGCCGCAGACGCGTAATACCAGTGAACACTGCAGCAGAAAGAGGCATTAGGTGCAAATTATTATATAATTTACAGGAGGTAAGTATTTCATTTTCAATTTATTTTCACTTGTTTGAGCGCTTATCTGGTCGCTGTCGCTTCTATGGGCGTCCGCTCTATTCGCTTATTTTGTAAGTAATCCATCGACTGCCAGCAGCATCCCTCTTGAACAACTTTCTCTTCTGGCTTTATAGGACAATATCGCCAAGGAGAAGTTGTTATCTATCAACTCCGAGTCAGATCGACAGCCTGAGGGCATCAGATGGAATCACGCGAGTTCGCAGGGGCCAGGGTGTGATGCTGATGAACTTGTCGATACTAGAAGAAGAAAACGGAACACCTATGAAATGGAGCAGAGACTGCTTTAGAGGATGATGGACCTGCGAGAGACGATTTAAGCTCAATTTATCCAACCTTGCCCATCTATCCACCGTCCAGAAGTAAAAAAAAAGCTCTCTGGTACGTGACGGGAAACACATTGAATCGTCGTACTTCCCAGAACTGTCCGAAGGTTTGAGAGTGCGACCTCAATAAGATGGAAAGAGCATATTTTAGTTTTTCTTGTAAAGTCAAGAAAACTGAAATATGCTCTGGCCCTTACGACGTTCGCGGACTTTCGCGACGCGACCTGGTGCTTGAGGAAGAGACGAGGAAGCAGAGCCCATTGAGAACCCAGGCGGCCAGGCCCGTGATGCTGATTGAGGATTCCTTAGTGCGGGATGGGTGGAGCATACGCGTGAGCCCAGAATAGATGCGAAGGGTTGATGATACAGGGCGCACGCAGATGCGGTCTTGTGGGGAATCACATCAGCAGGACTCCCACGGTAGTGCAACAAACGTACCGTTATCGTGCGTGGGAAAGATAAAGTCCTCCCTGAGAGACCGCAGTACTTGGTAGAATAAAACTGGGGTATAAAAAAAATGATCGACATTAAAAATGGTTCCGGCATAGCGGCAAATCGAACTCGACCATGGTCATTGCAGGAGGTATTTCAATTTATTTTCACATGTTTGAGCGCTTATCTAGTCGCTGTCGCTTCGCTATTAGGCGTCCGCTCTGTTCGCTTATTTTGTGGGGAGTGGAAGTAATCTATCGACCAGCTGCCAGCAGCATCCCTCTTGAACAACTTTCTCTTCTGAAAGGCAGTGAGACTGAAGGAGCATCGCATAGAGTATTTATATAGAATTCTAGTAAGCCAGTGTACTTAATTATGTACAGTACATATGTCGTATGGCGGAGCAACTACATATATAACTCTACTCTAAATATCAGTGACTTCAAGCTCGTTATATTCTATTGCGTAATGTGCTGAACCTACCACTTCATGATCAAACTTTGTGTTGAGCAAATAAATTCTATCCTTTTCAACCCACACGTCTGCTAACTCGCCGGATTCGAACTTTCGGTCCAATATGACCTCGACATAAGGCAGGGACGTTATCAAGTTCTTCACAGGCCTGCCAGTCCATTCGACGAATTTTGGTATCGTAGATGGTTCTTTCACCACTCGTCCCAGACCCCGCCTGTTCGTCACAGCTAGCGGGCTGAAGTCCAAAATGTGTAATATATACTCCGCGTCACCTGAGGCTGACGTGCCGACTGACAATGCTTGCAAGACTCGATTCCCGCTAACGTGAACTCTGGATTCACCTGAGAGCTCGAAAATACGAGTATTTGAAGGGCCCCAGCGTTCCCACGGAACTGGCGTTGCTGCTGCTATTCCTTTAAGGTTGAAGAAAATCCTCGTGGAAATGACGAAGGTCTGACCCGCTCCCGTGGTGATGCATAGAAGCTGGTTTTGGGGATCTGAAGTGTACATGGCTTGTTGGGCTTGTAGCTGTGGGGAGCTATCGATATGATCCATCGGAAGGAAGCACTGTATATACAGAGATAGGACCGGCATCAGGAAGCACGCCAGCAATTGTGGCGTCTGGGACATATCCTCGATCGAATAGAGCATCAAACGGTCGGCGGCAACGAGCAACCTATTGTTTCCGAGAAAGCAAAAATCAATCGGGCTTGGTAAGAAATTCGTGCCACTGAGGACGCTCTAGATGGCGAATCAGCACTCAGCCGTCGAGTCTTTCAAATGTTTTCTGGCTATGACTTACATTAGATGTCGCTGAGTGTTGCCAGTCCCAAATATGCAGCTGCCACATCTCATCGAATGGATGCGCAAAGGAGCGCCGCAAAGCAATATGCCTCCCAAATCCCTTGAGCTTGGCACTTTCTGTAACAAAGCATTTGTCCTTGGACGCGGGCAGCATCGACAAAAACAATGTCCGTCCAGCAGCTTGGGGATGAATGCCATCCTTATCCAGGACTCCAAGGTCGATGTAGAGTGTCTCGTCGTTCGATTCGAGTGTAGCATCAATGACGGAATACGCGGTGGCGATCAGGTTTTGTGCTGGATCCATGAACACATCGAGGTGGCCTGAGTCAGGAACTGAAAATAATGTTCCTGGAGACCAGTTGCGCTTGACTGTTTTTTGTGAGGACTTTGGCAGTATCGGAATGATTGTAGCCATGTCTTCTTCTTGATCCCACAAGTAGATATGCCCATCTGCGACAAACTGCTTGTTAGAGTGCATGTTCTTTGGTAGAGAGACTGTTTCGAAAGAGTGGGGGTCGACTTTGAACCATGCGTGAGCTTTGTCCCTCAAGAGTTGTAGGCGCTTGGAAACAGGGATGCTAACATTGTCCGTATTGGAAATATGGAGCAACCGTTGGCCACTGAGTTCAACGATGTACTGAAGCTCGGAAGAGGACATGTACATCTGGCAAAGGGCCTTAGATACCTGCAAGACGATTATCGTAAGTATAAAAGTCCATATAGGACAACAATAGCATGACCACAATCATAAATTGGGCTCACGGATGTACAACGAAGGATATCTTGGCAAGAAAGAGAGCTCAAAATGTTGAGCTGTAGTTCTCTAGGAATAGACAAAAACCCTGCGTTAGGTTTCATCTCGTGGCTCATAAATATCTTAACAAGGTGAGATGGGCAACTAGTCTCGACTAGATACGGTTGAAAGATGCGAGCACCTGCATATACCAAGCATACAAGAGTGGAGCCTTGACTTGGAGCGGCGTTTGGAATTGAAGGATTACTAAGCTAAAGGTCCTTCATACTTATGCAATAACCCGAACAAACGTCATTGAATATCTCATAAATCTGAGCAGTTGGTTCGAAAACATCGATTCCTTTGTTCACGATGATGGTGGGAGAGCGTTATACACAAGAAGGTCACCTCCAGCCGCAGCCCCCCTCTGCTCTCATCTGCAAGGCATTTACCCTGACCCGTCTCAATGAAGGACGTAGCATTGGAAACTTCAATAAAACCAAAAATAGATGCTGAAGAACCGTCAGTGAGTAAGACAATGTATCACTCAGGCTGGTTATGCACTTACTACTATACTATTTACCCGCTATGATCATGTCTGCCGCAGTAATAGCTTGCTACTGCACAAATCATCGGCCACCCTGCCCCCAAGCTGGTTATGCAGACCGTAATAATGACATGTGTGACCTGTCATTGTTTTCGTGTGAACCAGATTACACAGTCACTGGTTGCGAATGTGACGTACTGATACTACATCGCGATCCCTTGTATCATATGGCTTTTCAAACTAATCCCCACTTCAAGTTGCAGGTCCTACATAGCTGAAAAGTTGTTAATGAATGTACGTGACAAGTTCTTGATCTTTTCAACCGTTCTGACATCGACATCTCAGTGACGCTACACGGTCTAGCCAAGCTCAGTGATTGCAGCCGAGTACTGCCAGGCTTTTTCGATGGTTGAGTCGTCTGCATTTCTTGACCAGTTTTTGGTCTGACCTCTGCGCTCAGTGCTTTTCAGCAAGCAGACCCATCCTCGTTGTTCTACACATAGCCCACACCGTACTCCCTCTCCTCTGTGAAACCACGTGCGCCCGTCGGCGACTTTTCATCGCTCTTCAACCACACTCGCTCCAATACCGATAGAGCAACCGAATTCCAGCAATGCTCAAGGCGGTCTACCTTCTCTCATTGTCGTCCTCATATTATTGAAGTTGTTACGGTACAGGACAGAAAGGTATGTCTTTGCATGCGCTTCCAACTGTTGTGGACAATGGTCTCTGTCCAGGCACTGGTTGTTGCTCGGCGGCCAGAACATGACAAGCTGAAATGAATACAGCAACATCACAGCCAGTCGAATTGCAAAGCCCAGGCGCCTTCATCGTAATGTCACTCTGCCTCCGCCTCGCCGTCGGAAACTTTGTATTCGCAAAGATATTTGAATACTCAAATAACACCGGAGGAACTGCCAGATATATAGCACCGAAGCTATCTTGTGAGTCAGAATTGAATATTGAATTCCTGCATGTAGGTTGTTTCGTGAGCAACGCGTTATGCGCGCCACTATCTCAAAAGATGGGCCTGTAGACTCACCAGCAATCCCTGCCATACAAGCCCTTTCATTCCACTATTTTTGTGGGCTTCGCTCGCAAGCATAGTCAAGATATGTTGTAGCAATCGAACGCTGATCATGTCTTCCCCGACCCGTGAGCAAGAGTCGATTGGGTACAAGGTGTTATGCACCTACCTGGCGGACGGCGCATAATATGACTCACTTCGGAATGTGGGATGTAAAGACCAGAGACACAGCCCTGGAGATGTCTCTGTGGGTGATTTATTCACCCGATAACACAACATTTGCGATGAGCGGTCCGATAGTTACCCCATCCAGCTAGATGCATCTGCTGCTGCGGCACTGCTACAAGCCTATAAGAGCCGGAAGCAATATACACATAGCGATAGGAGACACAACATAATCGACGGCGATTTACTAATTCCCCATGGTCATAAGGTCGATTGCATGATATATGATTTGCTAACCCACCCCTCAAATCATGGCTCCTGCAGTTGACGGTCACTTTGCTATCATCGCCGGCATTTCTCTTTCCTTTGTCGCCGTCAAGGTACTGGGGCGGTTCATCACGAAGCGACAGAATAGTCCTTCTCTTCCCCCTGGCCCAGTGCCGCTCCCACTGTTAGGGAACGTCTTATCCATTGACGCTCAGGAGCCTTGGCTGACTTACACCGAATGGGGTGCTGCGTATGGTACGTGAACAAATAGTATAGGGTATATGCACTGCAGACCATTGTATCAGGGGACTTGGTCTTCGTGCAAATCATAGACGAGAAAATGGTCGTGGTCAATTCTCAGCACACTGCAGAAGCCTTACTGGACAAGCGTTCTCGGATTTACTCTGATCGGCCTTACCTAGCCACACTCGAGCCGTGCGTTCTTTGAGTATTCTTCTATTCAACTAGTCTGAGGCCCTTGCAGGTATGGTTTGTCAATCAACTTTGGTTTCATGGGTTACGGTGATGAATGGCGTCTCTGCCGACGACTCTTCCACCAAACTTTCCGTTCCGAGTCTGCAGTGAAATTCCTCCCAATCCAGATCAGGCGTGCTCATGAGATGGTCAACAACCTAGTCAATGACCCTCAACATTATCATGACCACTTCGCAACGTCAGTAAATTATCTTTATAGATTGAACGTTTATTTACCTGTTTACAGATTCTCGTTATCTGTTGTGATGTCAACTGTATATGGCCACGATGCCAGTGCTCGTGATGATCCTCTTGTGCAGAACGTGGTAAAGGCACTGATCCCGGGCCTGGCCGTGTTAACCCCAGAAAGAGCATTGATGCTTAAGACCTTCCCTTTCTGTGAGAACTCAACTCTCCTAGCTGAGAGAACGTTAACATGACATGCACTTTTGTGGAATGTAGTGCTAAAGTTACCTGACTGGTGTTGGGGATCATCGATCAAGCGTACTGCTCAATCTTCGACCGAGCGCATCAATGAAATGGCCAACGCACCATTTCGATATGTGCAACAGCACATGGTAGGTCACCTTTATTTTTCCCTTGGATCCAGACATTGGTTCGACCCTTGCCAAGGCAGACAGTTCGATCCTCGTTCGATCTTCGATGGTTGCAGAAAATTTGCGACGGATGGAAACGCAAGAGGAGGTATCCAATCCTGCATTCGAGAGTACCTTAAAGAAAGCAGCTACTACTGCTACTATGGGTAAGTAAGCTTTTGTACAAGCAACGTTATGCTCTCGACATAAACCCATATTACACAGGTTCATATGAGACGGTATGTGGGTAATTCCATCATGTCATCCGCTCCTTATCCTCGTTACAGACTTCGGCAATCTTGATGGTCTTTGTTTTGGCCATGGTATTGTATCCAGATGTTCAGAAACGCGCACAAGCGGAAATCGACTCAGTGGTTGGAAGAGAACGGCTGCCAACGTTCGAGGACAGAGCATCATTACCCTACATTGATGCACTTGTGCGAGAGACTTTCCGATGGCAGCCCATTGGACCCCTTGGTATTCTTCCCTGCCAAGTGATCTGGCCTGTACTGAAGATAATCTCATAGGCATACCACATGCCACCTCGAGTGATGACATATACGAAGGCTATTTCATTCCAAAAGGTCCGCTGTTGTTGTCCCATCAATACAATGATTATTTATAATACCGTACATCAGGCACAATCATCACGTACAACACATGGTCCGATATGTTCCTCCCAGCCTTTTGTAACACTGACTTGATTTTAGGAGCATTACACGGGATGAAAAGCGGTACCCCGACGCATCTCGCTTTATACCAGAGAGGTTTATCGACGTTGATGGCGCGTTAACAGGTGATGACCCCGCACAATACACCTTCGGCTTTGGCCGGCGTGCATGTCCTGGTTCGTTAAGTTACTTTGACTCTATAAGAAATTTGTTGACAGATAGACTTTACTCAGGGAGGTATACCGCTGATGCCTCTGTGTGGTCTGCCATTGTGACTATGTTGGCCACATTGGATATTTCTTCTGCCAAAGATGACCAGGGCAAATTGATCAGCTTTACTCCCACGTTCACCACGGGAGTGGTTCGGTACTTGACTCCCTCGTGTCGTTCTACCCTCTTGTCACTAACAGCTTCGTTACTTCAGCTGTCCTGCGATCTTCCCTTGCAGTATCTCAGCACGGTCTCGCACCCATTCAGACCTCGTGGACTGTTGGCAAACTGCCGAGTTTTGACATCAACGTCGCACTTCAAATTTGCGCGCTAGGAAGACCGAATGAATGTACAGTTCCAGGAAGCGCTTGCACCGGAGCTTTCTCTCCTTCCCTAACGTCTAACTCTGGGATCAGCTTGTTTGTATACGAGACAATATATAATACGATATCGAGATTGATACGATGCAGATGCTATTCATGTCGAAATGTTGATGACCCGTGCTTCGCAGCTACAATATCTCCAGCATCCTGACATTCATCATGTCATCAACAACAGAAGTCATGTCCCTCACTTGTGCGATGATATTGTTATCCGAAGCAATTCTCTTATACTCCCAACCACGCTGTTGCGCTAGCAAAAGTGCGCCAAAAGGATGAGCAAGGCGAACGAGCAACCTCAACCCTTTGGTAACCAGCTCATCATCTCCAGGCTCAGCAGACCAATCATCTACGCTCTGCGACTCATCTGTAAAGTCCTCGAGATCATGCCGATTGCACGGATGGATGAGCAGGAATGTCTGCAGAGTACGCCTTGCAGGCGAGAACTGAACAAGGTTGTATTCTGTTGTGACCACCAGGTCTTGTAGCCCGTCTGCCTTGACTTCATGTGAAACATTTGTCCCCGTCTCCACCAGGCCTCCGCTCGACTTCTGTGAGAGGAAATGCAAGGCAAGGCAATTGCAGTCTGGCGTTTGCGAAACGAGGTTGGCCGAGGTTCTCAAGAGTGGTATACAGTTTCGAAGCCGACTCCACAGCCACGATATTGTTTCGCAGCGTGAAGATTGAATTCTGTATTTCGTCTTCGGATAGAGATGGCAACATGCATGGCTCAAACACGCTAAAGCTTCTACTTTACAGTTGCCTCGCTTTCCGTTCGCTCGGTCCAGATGGTGGATATATGCATGTATGTATCTCGATCGATACTTTACTCTGCTATCCGTGGCAGTGCGTCGCACGATGGGCTCAAACAGATTATTGCAAGGACACAAACCTGACGCACGATTTGCACTCACATGGGCGATGGCGCGGCTCCGATCAACGTATGTATGGATGCAACGTCGGAATGTTGTGGTTCATGGCATTAACAGTCAGCTCCGACTCTACTCCGAGTCCCGGCTCAGCACACCTCATCTTCTTGCTATGTTCATTCGCGATAGAGGAACCATGAGTCCGCGCGATTTATTCCTGTTCCTCCTCTGTGGCCTAGATGGATACAAGCGCATCTGAGCAACGATGAACTACAGTCATCTCAGACAAAGGAATTCCGCAAACACGTAGAATCAGCGGTCTGGGCGGGTTCATTGCTAGATGTGCCGGGTAATTGCAGCTTGCCGCCCGGTACGAGTGTGGGCGGGCAGATCCCCGACTTCAAGTAGTGATACAAGAAATGGGTTTTGTCTACATAAACCTCGTCTAAAATATACTTTGAGACGTCATAACCAAAATAACTACGACGGATCCTCGACCAAATATCTCCTCCATGTGGAACACTCGGCAACCAATTCCTACACAGTACTGCTAGTTGGTACATACACACGCTCCTGGAAGACAATTGAATTCATGCTAGTTTCTGCGTCGGATTCAGCCACGAGTTTGGCGTGATATTGTCGAACGCTAAGGATGAGGCGTGGTCCCAGCACAAACATCTGCACGGGTAATAAAATTGCCATACTAGCATTGAGTATCGCAGCTGCTACAGGATTCGCATTCTACAGAAATGATGAGCAGTAGTTACATGTAGATGTCAGTGACATGTTGGCGCACCTGGAACTCTGGAGAGAGAGTAACAAGCTGGAGGCATGAGACACCGGCAAAGCTAGCACATGCGAAACTTGAGCAGAAGACCATAAGCACATTCGCATTACAAGCTCACCTTGCAAAATAAAGCACGTGAGATTCCATCAGCACTCTGAAACAGTCCCCGATGGTCGATCCCGTCAATGGGCTGAGTCGTCGCAGGTCACGGAAGTGCTTTGCAGCGATCCAGACTGAAAGACACAGTGCGAGGACCTCCCAAACAGTGTTGAGCATCCAGACCATTGACACCAGAAGCTTGGAATCCCCCTCAAATACGACAGAGCACGTATGAATACCAGAGAGTATGAATTCCTCTGGTATTTGTCCAATGAGCTGTGTTCTTCAATTCAACAACTAAAGCTTACCCGATACGAAATGATACTTGAGTTCTGTGATCGCGATTGCTCCGCAGGCGATGTTTACAGCTAGGAAGATGATAACAAGGAAGATAAGCATCCTCCTAGATCTCTGATACATGGCATGCAAACGAGCAATCATGATGACTTGGATCATATTTCAGTCGAGTCGGTATCACTGAGGTATCGCAGCTGGGCAACTCACCGTCCAACATGGCAGTTATGACCACAGATGCCCCATTTATTGCATAGACTATGATATTGCCTGAAACACCCGATTAGCGGTCACTCTTGTACTAGGATAAAATTCTCCGACTCACACCTATTGAGTCATTATGTGGAGCCGAGTCCAATAGTCAAATCGCACTCACCCCTACAAATAAATGTATTCATTGGATAGGAATGAAATGATCGAGGAATACTCACTGCATCTGTCAACGGGACCAACGTGGTGGTTCCTGTGTGCCGCCGGTTAGAAGAATCGAACACGGTGCATATGAGACATACCCAGAATCCTAGCACTGAAAGATGGGCTATCAGTACACCAACTACTTCTTGGCCTTGATTAACATACACAGAAAATGGTATTCCAACATAGCGTGTCTAGAACATTTCGGAGTCAGCACAACCACGAACCATGCCATGGTATAACATGAGGCACGAACAACTAGGTACAGCACGGTCATGAGAGACCAGCGTTGCGTCTGTCATAAATGCATTGTTTTTGTTATGATATGGAACTCTGACTCACCCAAACGAGGTCAATCTACGACACCATTGTCAGCAAGTTGGGTGCTCCGGCGGCAATAGCATCAACCTACCTCTTGTGCGAGTGTTAATACTGAAAATATCATGAGAATATCAGCAATTTCAGGACACTGTGCTGCTCACCCCAATCGTATACCACCACGGAGGCTGCGGCAACTGCGAAGCCACAAGTCAATATAAAATCAAGACACAACCAACTGATATGGCGAACCCATCCAATAGCTGTACAAAACGGTGAAATTGATGAAGGGCCACCAACTGGGATTATTTGAGACTACAGTCATATTCGAGGATGTCGATGGGGGATGTTGGGTGTGTATGACGATCTAGCATTCATATAAGTACCAGCGGTCAGCTTGTTTTACCAAAATCGGCATGATGGTGATCGGCCTATTTGAAAGTAGAATTTGATTTGCACTACTGGAAGTACTGCCTGAATCTTCTCACGCGGGCGGTGAGGGTGTTCATTTGCGCACTTTTCTCTTATGATACCAGTTCACCTACTCCACAAACTAATTAATTTACCCTCCTCCTCGCGGGTACTACAACGTTCCATCTTTCAATATCCAGAACGTTCTCTAACCAGTACCCGGTCTTAATATCAAGAATACCACTCAATCTCCATTTGCAAGTTTGCACCGACTCGGCCTCACCAGATTCAAATCCACGTGTAAGTATCATACGTTCCGTTATTTGGCATAGCTCCAACTCAATTTCCGATCTGATAGTCCATTATACGACCCAATTTAGAGACCTTTAGAGCGTCTTTTTTACGATGTCGACAGCAACTTGAACGCCGTCTGCGCCTTCATCATCTTGTAAAAAATTACTTACATCTGCACAATCAAACCTGGGCCGACTCTCTGCCGTCATTAAATATTAATCCCTGCATGAACTGTGTTTACTTGGGACGGTGGTGTCGTCTTCTGTGACAGCCGCTATCCCTGCCTCACTTTGCGTTCATCATTCACACATGCCTCGAGACTCAATCTAGACCATCAACACAAGGTAACCATCAACACAGGCCACAAGGTAACCATCTTCCATCAATGATTCCACACATTTTTTTGTCTACAGATAACTGATGCATCAGTGATACTTTGTCGGGTGTGCTTTACTCCTCGCCCAGCACAGATAGTCCGCGTGCCGATCTGACACAGTATCAGCCGTCTAAGGTTTCACGACTCGCTGCCACTTCTTCTTTTGCTTTGCTCAGGTAGTGACATGACAGAGTCGATGTGATCTGATCAAAGTATGTATATCAAAATATTGTAGTCAGCGCCTTACTGATACTTTTCCAGGAGCGTTTGATACCTTCCGAGTCCTGACCTGACGCCCGCTTCCCATCTCTACTCTCCTCTCAGCACTTTTCATCTCCTTGCCATGCGCATTCATTCTTGACAGAGGCATATACTCATCTCGTAAGTCTGTTCTAAACTGTCATGCTCGATATCGTCGAATCATGTTTGAATAGACGTCGTTCAACGATTGATTGTGCCAGTAGCACCCAAAACAGAATGGACCTCGATCTGGTGTGACGCCCAATCACAACAATCCCTACCAATAGTTGCTGAGGACATTGACAGCCGACCTTCACCCTTCACGCACGACTCATTACTACTTCCCTACTGCCCAGATGGATGATATCGGGGTGGGCATACGTCTGGCTTGTTCCACTCTCATTTACGACCCTCAGTCATTCAGCATAAAGGGCTCGATTGACTCATGGACGCCATCGAAGATCGACAGCGTGGAGAAGGGCCATCAGCGACGAGTCCATTTAAAGACTATCCAATAGCTTCCTATGCACACCCTGAGTCAACCATGTAAGTCCCGAGCAAGACTCTGTCGTATCGTGTCACTGAGAATTCGCTGGATTTAAGTAAACTCGAATAAATGAAACAGAGCCAGCCGCAAAAACTCGAAGTGGTAGCAAATCGGGGATCTGATTCCTGGTGCATTTGACAGATACTCTCGACAAGTATGCTTACCTGCTCTCCCTTCAAGTTTGTGTATCTGATGTATCCGATCAAAGCCTTATCTAGCCTATCTGATCATCCCACTCTTCTGATTCATCATGCGTCCATTCAGTATGGAGTTGGACTTTATCCGCCATAATCGAACATCCAAGCGTCGTATCCGAGCCTTATCATCGATATACCTTGTGTCCCCATCCATCCATAGAATCATCGATCATAGTCACTCTCCTTACGATCATGAATACTCCATGCTCGCGTGTTCCAAGCACTGTTTGTGAGCGCGCCCGACTTTGATGAAGAAGGAACATCCGATAGGTAGACAATGGTGAGCGCTGAGCGGTGATACCAGATGAACATGGAGTGGTCTGAAATATGGAGCTCAACAGTATCGAGCCGGTCGATGCAGCGTGTATCGCTCCACGCCCAACGATGTCCCGCATCGCGAGCAGCTTCGCAGAATTTCTGTAACTTCACTACGGTTCCAGCCGGGTCCAGATCGTATATGGTCTTGTGCTGAATGTCGTACAGCGTTGGCTCCTGGGTTTCCCACTTGTGCGATAACATGACCCATCCGAAGTACTGCGCGGCCGCTTCTTTGATGGACTGCGTTTGGAGGGGCACGTGTATCACTGATGAATGTAAAAGCTCTTTATACTCTTTACTCTCCGTAAATGCGTTGATCTGCGCATTTTGATTGCACAAACCTCCAGTAGAGGTGTTGATTAGACGAAATGGAGTGTTCTCCAGTTGGGCATGGATGGCTAGTCGAATAGCATCTTCTACTTCAGATTGACTGACGTATTGGCGGTGTAGCTCTGCAAAAATGTCAGTCATTTTCAAGTTAGATGAGTCACGAAGCGTGCGCGACAAGGCGTTAACAGGATGATCATCAATGGCATGATTGATAGATACACGACGCGGGGAAGGAGAACCTCAAAAGTCCGTGTAAGTTGCTGATCACAAAGGCGTCATGGATGTGCAACCCACGCGTGGCTGTGATTGCAGTCTTTGGTAGTAATTACAGGTACCGAGAAGCGCCTTGGCAAGGGAATGCATCTGTTACATCTGACTCATCGAAACTCCGATCGGTGTAACTGTTCCAGAGCCTCAACTTCATTGAAATTACTATGGGAAGTAGTTCGCTTCAAAGATGCTCACTTGCGATATTCTTGACTGCCATAATGCACCAGTGAGGTACAGCATCGCTATGGGTTGCTGTCACCGTCGCCTTTGTTCAAAACACCGAAGTCCTCCTTTTCACGATTGCCCCAAGAGCGAAGATGTTAGTCCAAGCCACTCTTTCATTTTCTTGCTCAATCAATGAATCTTAGGACTGGGATGCTTTTTGCAAAGCCTTCGTGAAGACAGAAACTTTTGAACTCGTGGCGCTTCAACAGCGCATCAATCCCATTCAGCTAGCGAACGTTGCGTCATCTCTTCGTAATGATATCCCGTGCACCATTCCAGCTCTCGTCGCAGCCACAGCCAACCGCCCTAAGCTTTCAAAGATGATGGGGGGAATGAACGTTCATCTCGATATCTTATTTGATGATAATGTCGTCTGGCTCGCTCGTATTCAACGAACAACTGCAGTCACACCTCCCCCAGCTGTGCAAAACCACATTTTGCTCAGTGAATTCGCAACATTGGTGTATCTTAACCGCATTGGAGTGCCAACTCCTGTCGTTCACGGATATGGCATAACAGCTGATTCAAACGGTGTCGGCGTCAACTATATCCTGATGGATAAGCTGCAAGCTTCCCCGCTTAGATGGTACGATTTAGGTCCCGACCAGCGTCGTCGGGTACTCCATCAACTAGCCAACATTTTCATCACACTAGATCATCATTCGTTTCGACAATCCGGTTCTATTATTCAGCCGCATGCGTCTATCGGCGCATTTGCGGATCGCGTGATATTTGAACCGAATTATTCCCAGAAACTTAACCTACTGGGGCCGTTCACCAGCCTTCGTCGACACCTAGATCACACAATTGGTTGTTATCTTCGCCTCATCGAATCTTCTCAGTGGGCTGTCAGTGATCCTGTGACATCCTACCTCATATATCGCACTCTACTGGATGCCTATCCTCGCATCATGTCAGCCGAATCGATGAACAGTGAAATTTTTTGTTTGCGCCATCAAGATGACAAAGGTGACCACATACTCGTCAACGACCAACTTGATGTCATTGGCATCATTGATTGGGAGTGGTCAAAAGTTGTCGCGAAATCATTCGCGTTTGCTGCCCCTCTGATGCTATTGCCACTTGAATTCGATGATGGTAATAACCTGCTGTCACAGGATGAAGAGGAACTCGCGAGGATATTCGACTCGCTTGGTCGGTCAGATATGGCGTTGTGTATTCGTCATGGACATGCCTATCACCGAATCTCGTTCATCCTTGACAATGGTGATCGTCCCGAGGCATGCAAGCCACATATGAAGGGACTGTTTCAGCTGTTGGGAGACGAATGTTGGGAGTGGGAGACATGGCGTCCTGATGCTTTGCGGATGTATCAGTCCGAACATGCTCTTCAGGTTTTATTGGACAATCAAGTCCTGCACTAGCTGAGACCTCCCCGTCGTACATTGTAATCCTACCTGCTATTTGGTGTTGTAACGGACCTTATCGTGAATTGGCACTCTACAAGTACAGAAGCAGTAACGTGGCCGCTCTTCATTTTTTCTGGTCTCGAATTGAGGCATTTCTTTGCTGAGCATATTGGTGAGGAATTGAAATGACTCATTACCAACTCAGAGCTATGATAATACTTTTCCAGTACAATTGACATACAAATGGGCGGTCGAAGTCGAAGACATCTATGATATCAATCAATCACGCATCAAAATAGTTGTGGCGAGTCGAAGCAGCTCATAATCGCTATTGGCAGAGTCTCACGTCCAATAAGAAAATGACTCGAGCTTGTGCAATTCCCACTGAGCGATCCAAAATGGTTCGGGGACCAGCGCTCAGTGATTGATGTGCAGGGCGCATCAGTACTTGATGGCAAATACGTTGGTCAGTGTGGGTCAACGTTCCCAGCCGTACTCAAGGATGAGTACTACTGAGTCACCCATGAGATAGGAACCTATGGCGACGGGAATACCTTCGAGTGGCGCACGGCAGAAACATTGGCACTGTCGAGGTGTGGCGTGCCCCACTCCGTTGCCATATAAATAATCTGATCAGTCCACCTGCATGAAGGCAGTTGTAATCCAGACTGATCTTGTTATCACTGTGATTCTCAACATCATACCACATCATACAAATCATAGTCGGTACTGTGATCAGCGTAAGTTCACCTTCTGTTCCACTGGCACTTGCAGTGATCATCTTCAAATATTGGGTCTTTTTGATAGACAAGCCCTCTGGAGCGTCGCGTGACCCTCAGATTGGCAAGACATGGAAAGGCCTGTCTCATTTCAGCCTTATCGGCTTCGAGAAACTCCGAGTCATCGGGTTAGCTCACTCCTTCTTGACTCACCAATTTCCTTACGAGTTGGCAACACGGATATAGGTATTGGGCATGACCCCGCCAATGGCACTTGTAACATCTGCAAGATTGCTGCCAGTAATTTTTTCGTGCTTCTCGGGTCATTTGTAACAATGCATGAATGTTAACGCTGCATTGTGTAGTGGGTCTTGTAGTGTCAGATTCTCTCGACCTCATAAAGAAATGAATGTTACCTTGTTTACCAAGGTCGTCACCCAGAGACATGATATCTTATGGGAGACGAGTTGAAAGGCGTTGATTTGAGACATCCATGGCCCGTGTCGGACGTGTGACAGATCATTCGATGGATGTCATGATGGAGACCCGCATGTAGAACTTCTATACATTGACTACACCACTTGAAGCTTGAGCATCCGTGATAGTATATGCCAGGTTGGTTGGCACGTTCCTAGCATGTGCACGTCCCGTACGACTGTAACGGTTCTTCTGGCACCCCGCGCATGAAAACCACTCGGAGGCTTTTGGCGCGCAGCGACTACACACCTTCTCCCCGCAGCTTCCGCATGTTCCGGAGAGTGTAGCAAACTTTTCTACTACCCCGTCATATTCATCCTCGGTGCTGTCATCCACATACAACGTTTCTTTAGCACAGTCACACACATCCGACGCTTCTTTAGCACATTCATCCACATCCGACGTTTCTTCAGCACAGTCATAGCAGAGGGTAGCACGGGAGCATCGTCTGCATCGGTCGATATATGTGCAAGAGGTGCAGAATGGCCTGTCACAGCGCGGACAACGTATAAAAATGCTGCTATCGTGCTCCGCACAGACATCACATGCCCACACTTTCTGACATGCACATGTGATACCACCACTGGTGCATTCCGGGCAGATCGCATTGCGCTTTGACCAACATAAGCGACCTGGGCATCTCCGCCAGCCCAGTAGCTTGCATTGGCCGCAAGAACGGTACTTGGGAGGGTGAACTTTAGCTGGTTGGGAGAAGATAGTCATCATATGCTGAAGGTAATTAAGACAGGATGCGCGAGAAACCGAAGGGATGTTAATGGGATGACCGATACACTTTCTTATATCCTTGGAACAGCACCAAGATTTGCACGCAGGACATTTCTCCAGCTCTCTCTTGGACCCCTGCTCTTCGAGGCACGGAAGGCATAAAACATTGTTTTCATGCCTAGCGCACCATACGATTGGGGGTTCGGAAGATTCACAGCAATTGGCCGACCGGCACGATAGAACCCTACAGTTTTTGCAGCGACCGATGGGGCATGAAGAGCATCCGATTCTACTGGTGTCTGTGCCACCAGCAGTCTCTTGCTGTGAAACACGCTGATGGTATTTCTAGAGTACTTGATTTGTATTATGATAGTGGATGAATACAAAGCAACGCCTACCTCCTTTTGCATCTGGTCCCATATCATCCTACGGCCAAAACTGCAGTCCCAATCTGGTGTCCACTCGATAGTAGCTGACCTCCTGATGACGAACTCGCGAACGAACCAGGAGATATCCATCAGAACCGGGGCAAGCTCTCCAGGGAGCGAAATGCACGTGTTCTGTACCTTATCTTTGATCTGCATGTCCGAGTCATGCAGCGCAACATCAAAGCGTGCATCAGTCTGTGAGGAAAGGCGCAGATGGATGACGAGGCTTGATATTTCAGGAGGACCCTCCTTTTCTTGCGAGAGTGCGTATTCGAGGGTTGCGATGTGCTTTACTTCATCAATCGTGGAACTCGGTTCGTTTGATGTGTCTAAAACATGATAGACAGCCTTCATCACACGGTATACGTTCATCCACATTGGATGACGCTCCGGATCGTTCACTGGGTTTTCTGGCGAAATTATTGTCCAGGCAGGCATGTAGAGTAGAGGACCAGAGTACTTTATTGGATAAGAGGAACTTGAAGTGGATGTGAAATGGAGATGAGCATGACACGTTGAAACGAGTCTCACGGCCTGTATCTTTCACCAGTTCTAAGAATCTAGAAACGTCCCCGGATCTACGTAACAAGTACTACATAGTGAACATGTGACCTCCCCGTGTTTGACGTTATATTTAGTCAAGGCAGGACCCGGTGAATTTCCTCACAAAGGTACAAGCTGAGTCCCCACGTTATAACTCACGCTTAGAATGTTGCCCTTCCCTTTCAGTGAATTAGATCTGACTGTCTCCCACAACGACATTTATCTCGACTACATCCCACAACAACGGCCATTTCGTTCCCTTCTCGACTTCTACAACAACTGTTTCTCCCCCTCCTCGACTATGTAAGGAAGCCTATGGCTGTGGCGCTGGACCAGGCTTGCTCGCTTGGACTAACACTTCAACCATCGCAACATAGTACGCACTACTGGACGGTCTGTCTTTTCGTTCCTACTCCATTCTTTCACACTTCACTTCTCTCCGCCTTTGTATATATTTCATTGCTACCACTGCCTCCCTCATCTTACTCTTTTCGTACCTGCTTTAATGTTATTTTCACCACTCCTTTCATACTGCAACAACCATTCGATGACACTCGCGCCGATGCACCTTCCCCTTGTATGCCTAGTTGCTGCTCACTTCCGTATGTAAAGCCCATGTACTTTTGTAGATACTGATACCCTTTTATTGCTCAATGCCTATAAAACCTGAACGGCCCTACACGGAAAAGCCTATCGAAAGTCTTGCATCTCCCTCTCCAAACTCTTCGTCAACGCATTCCCCAATAAACTCAGTCACGACCTTAAAACTATTTCCCACAACAACTAACCATCTATCTCGCTTCTCCCAGTGCATCAGCAAGCGTGCTGAATGATTATGCAGATTGATGTCATTGCCCCTTCAAGGCTTTATTCTCCCTTCGGCAATGGGCTATGGCCGATTAATCGTGATTAGCGCCTCAAGAAGCCAGTCAACGTGTTGGCCATGCTTTGGTCAAGGGTATTCAGCTCATGCCTGAGGTTCTCTCTTTTCTCCCACCTACTTCTTGCACCCTCACCTCACTTACAGTAATCAACTACTCATGATGAGTAGAGACCATAGGCCAGATCCTGGCGGGGCACCCGTTGGTGAAAACCCGGTATGTGGTCTCAAGGCCTTACTCGACGTGGATGAGCGCTCATGCAATTCATCCCTGCTTCTGACGCTTTCGTCGTCCAGAGCCAACCTCGTAGTGGAGTCAAGCAGGGTATTCGGAAATTTGTGAGACGCGTGACCAAGATACATTCTGTAAGTGGACTGCTGGGTTTCCTGATTCTGAATATGGCTGACATTGTGCAGAAACCCTTCAAGTCTTCCCGCAACCGCATTCCTGCAAACCAGAACGTAGACCTTCGAGATGCTTCAACCACTGTGGTCCAGAACGTCGAAACGGAAGGGGCTTCATCAAGTCAGAAAGTTGACGTAAGTGCTCGAACTTACTATTCTAGTCTTTCGGTTTTCTTACAGGCGTTTCTAGTCATCCAACGACAACAAGCATCCCACCACATCTGAGATTCCAAGTGACTCCGTGAACCATGGGCTGTCCGAAGAGCCTGCTCCCCAGGTATTTTCGTCACATGCTTTGACTTTCCTCTCTAATTTTGGTGACACCGCAGGTCCAGGCCAATCCTTCTGGCGAGGAGGAAGGTCCTGATCCCCAATTAGTTGATGCTGAACTTCAGGGTGCCTGTGGTAGTACACAAAGCATGGGATTACTCGGGAAACATGCGACTTCTATGGCATCGGCCGCCAACAATGTCCCAGGGGGTCTTGCCGCTGCCACGAATAATTTTGAGACGAAGTATCTCCAACCCCTGAAGATTATCGATGGTGTCCTCGAGAAGATCGGGGATGTAAGTGCTATTCTTGTCTATTGGAAGCGAACTAATCAAGTCGTATAGATACATCCATACGCAAAGATGGCGCTGGGTGTGCTATCTACTGCATCCAAAGTATGTGCAGTTTCTCCTAGAGTCCAGTTTCCTCCTCAGAAGTTCTAATTTCATCATTATAATTGCGCAGGGAGAGCGCGACCAATCGATTATTAGTCTTCTCCAAAAATTGGCTGAAGTTTACCACTTCATGACTCAAGATGACAGTCTTGAAAAAATTGAATCGATGCGTGGTATCGTTGGAAAGATCGTTCAGCAGACTCATGAGTGCGCCCGTTTCATCAGGGACTACTCGGAAACAAAGAGCTTTTGTGGGTCACCAAGCTATCGCACTTCGTGCATGAATCTTATAGTATTATCGTAGGGAAGAGACTCGGGAAAAACGTTCTGTCGGAAACTGACGACGTCATCAAACAGTACAGCAAGACTTTGGACGACCTTATGCAGCAATTCCGGGACCAAGTCGATCGAGATGTGGCAGTCTTCGTCCAACGTACGGGTAAGGAGTCTGACACGCTTTTGTCTTTGCATTGACTCATGCCCTCAAAGGTGAAACACTCGATCTCAGCGGCATGGTTTATGCAGGAGGCGCAGGCGTAGTCACTGGGAAGCAATGTCTGTCAGGGACTCGCACGGACGTTCTCTCCCAAATCACCAAGTGGATCAACAACAACGAAGATTCCGCTCCACGTGTAATGTGGTTATCCGGTCCTGCAGGCAAGGGCAAATCAGCCATCGCACACACGATTGCCAACTGGTTCAAGGAAACCGGAGGCCTCGGTTCATGTTTTTGTTTTGATCGGCACAGAGAAGGAGATCGTCGCCACGAAAAGATTTTCTCCACCATCGCGCGTGATCTTGCTGATCGTGATCCGGGGATGAAACGAACGTTAGTCGGGAATGACATTTCGCTCAAGAATACCACGGACATTATGCAGCAATGGCGCGAGCTTCTCATGGGACCGCTGAAGAAGTTCCCTGGGTCAAGCGTGGGGCCTGTCTTGATTGTAATCGATGCGCTGGACGAGAGCGGCGGAGTAGAGACGCGGCAGGACCTTCTCCGCATACTTGCCGGTAAACTTCAGAACAAAAAGGTTCCCCAAATCAACGAACTCCCTTCCAACTTTCGGATTCTCGTCACCTCTCGCCCGCTTCCCGACATCGAAAAGGGGTTTGAAGGCGCTGATCATATTCTGCGGTTCTCCATGGACAGTATTGCACCAGAAGTCGCGGAGCGCGACATTCACGCTTTCGTATCCGAGGAGCTGAAAGAGCTATCGGAATTTCAGGACGACCATCTTGCAACACTCGCTGCGAAATCTGACGGACTCTTTGAGTGGGCACGTCTCGCATGCAACTACATCAGGGAACCCGAGTTCGGTTCATCTTCAATGAACCGCTTCGATGCCGTCACGAACCGCAATCCGGGGGAGCGGAAGAACTTGTTGTATGATATGTATCGGCTCATCTTAACAGAACTCATGCCGAAAGATAAGAATACAACAGCCCACAAGCAAGCAATAGCGAGATTCCGTTCTGTGATGGGACAAATACTTGCCACAGCCGAACCTCTCCCTTTAGCTTCACTGAATGCTATGCGGCAGCATTTTCCAGAGGACCACGACCATTATGAAGTAGATCTAGTGATCAAACACATGGGATCCCTCCTCAGCGGCACCACCGACTCATATACCCCCATCCGACCCCTTCATGCGACATTCCAAGAATTCCTGACGGACGAATCATCCAGTGGAAACTTCTTCGTCGAGAGAACGAAGGGGCAACGACGCGACCTTGCATTTGCGTCGCTACGAGTGATGAAAGATGGCCTTAGCTTCAATATTTGTGATTTGAAGTCGTCGTACCTCCCTAATTCCCAAGACACAGGGCTGTCTGAACGAGTGAAAACATCCATTTCCCCACATCTGTCCTATTCCTGTCGATATTGGGCTACGCATGTCCAGGAAACGGACTTTGACGATGAGCTCGCAAAGGAAATAAGATCACTCTTCGGCGACGAGCGATTGATGTTCTGGATCGAAGCACTCGGACTTCTCAATGCAATCAGCGGTGCAGGTGCTGTGCTTCTACCTGTTGCCAAGTGGCTGAAGGTGAGCACATGCCTATGAGGCAGGGTTGGACCACCAACTCATACATAAATACAGGGCCATTCTGGATATGAAGATTTGCAATCTGCTGTAGAGACTCATGCCTCTCCTTGTGCAATATTGCAGTAATTCCTGTGCTTTGCGCATTCTCGTGCCTTGCGCTTTCCTGCGCTTCGCATTCGCCAACCAGTAGCGCCTTCGGCGCCTACTACTAGATCCTTGCTGCACTCGCTTTCCCCTTTAGGGTTGAACGCACTTGTCGTCTCAAGTATAGCAGACTAGGCAACGCGTGACCTTACAACATTTATAGATACAGTCAGGAGCATTGTTCGTGCCTTGCTGTATCGTTGAACCTTCAACTGGAGCCCACTGTGAGGGGAACAGTCAGCAAGATCTAGTTCTGCACATCTTCGTGTCTAGCGCCATTTAGCACATATAGGTCAATCTCTTTGCAGTTTCACAAAGCTAACCATTTTTAGTCACGCATTCTGGCGCCTCGCGCACGCTAGTGCTGCTGCGGTCCGGTCCAGAACCATGGTTCGAACCGGACTTTTGGTCCGGTTCTCCGCGGTTCGGTCCATGGTTCTCGCGCCAGCCAGAACCGGACCGGAAAACAGTTCTCGGTTCTAGATCTTCCCAAATGGTCCAGTTCTGGTTCGACCTTCCCGAACCATTCCGAACCCCGAACCCATTGTCAACTTCGACTTCGACTTCGACTTCGACTTCAACTACGATGACGTCAGTCTCTATGTCGACGTCAAAGTGTCGTCTTCAGGAGTTGCACTATTGGTTAATTAGGCTACTTTTAGCCTTTTTGAAGATTAGTACTAATCAATCAACTCTCAAGACTCTGTCCTCAAGGTAGTTATTTGTATATCCGTTTTCATTTTATTTACTGATTGAGTCAACCGTGCCGCCACCACCACCACCACCACTTGCTGCAACCACTACCCCACTCCAGCAACAACCAGTGTCTAGCGCATGCGCCCAGCACACGCCAGCAAATGCTGGCGTGGCTAAGGCGAATGCGGATGACACTTTGGTGAAGGAGAAAGGAAGACACCGGGGGAAAGAGAAAGGAGAAGAGGAATGGGAGAAAGAAAGTTGTGGAGGAGACGAACAAGGTGCGCTGCCCACTCCCAACATACCTCAATGACCTCTCACGTCTGGCTCGTGATATTCTCACTATTCCGGGCTCAGCTGTTGCTGTCGAACACATTTTTTCCGGTGGCCGTGATACTATCTCTCTTCGGCGTGCTAGCTGTATCTCACCCACTGTCTCTCACCCTGCTGTCTCTCACCCGCCACCTCTCACTCGAGACGTGCAGGTGTTTTCTCCCTGTTCTGTGTATAAAAAAAGGTGATGGCAACATCTGAGAATGGAGGCGCAACTCAAACCGCATGTACCTCTCTCATTGTCCTGAATGTCTTCCTTCGCTGACGACGGAGGTAAAATGATTTCAATTCTGGCAAACACTCTCACTGATGCATGCCTTACAAGGCAGCTTACTTCAAATTGCTTGTCTGGATCAGACGCCGCAGGTTCACATTACCCACTAACATCGACGGTAAGCATTGGTTGTTATTGTGTTTTATTTCATTCTCACCATTTGTATAGATCGAATCAGTTAGCTCTTGAATCAGTGGCTACAGTCATATGTAGCCATGTCATTGGAGTAGCTACTTGATGTGTAAACTAGTCTTTCAATGATTTTTTTTTCACGCTCACCACTGAAAATTTTCGGGTTCGGTTCGAGTTCAGACCAGAAAAAAACCAAACCGGACCACAGAGAACGGTTCTCTGTGGTCCGGTTCGGGGTTTGAAGATTTTGCAGAACCGGACCACGGTCCGGTTCTCGGTTCTCGTCCAGGACCCTCTGAACCAGACCGAACCGGACCACGGCAGCACTAGCGCGCGCGCCTTTCTCACGCTTCAATGCCTTATAGAATGCCCATCCGTGGCATGACAAACACACCCAAATTCGACAGCACTACAGACAACCTTGCCGATTTCATTGACGCATATGAGCAGCTCGCTGATGAAGCAGGACTCCAAGGGCTCGACTGCATCAAAGGTATTATTCGCTACCTTGGACACGATGATCGAGAACTATGGGGAGGCATGCCTGAAGCGGCAGTAAGTGATTATGATGCATTCATGGCAGAAGTTAAAGTAATGTATTCTGGATGGGATGGCAAGAGACGCTACGCACTCGTGGACTTACGTGCCATTGCGCGAGAATACGCTAACAAACCAATGCCCTCTTGCACTGAACCAAGCAATTACTTGCGTGCATTCAGGAAGGTTATGCAGCCACTTATGGATGAAGACCGTATTGGAAAGGCTGAACACAACTGCTTATTCATGGAAGGAATCCCTAGAGATGCTCAGGTGCAAATTTGCTTGTGCCTTATGATCAAGTTCCCCGACCACTATCCACATGACCCATATCCGTTCATGGACGTCTTTGCAGCTGCACAGTTCCTATTACCTGCGCGCGCTTTTCCTGTGCCAAGCACGCCAGTTAACGCGCCAGTGGTAGTGCCATTTGGAAACTTAGTCCCAGCGACCACGCCAGCGCAAGCACCGGTGCAAGCCATGGTAACTAAGCGCAAAGATCAATACTACATGAGCCGTGCAACGCAGGATACATCTACTAGCGCTAGTGTGACAGCTGGACTCTTCTATCGCGCATCCTCAGATGTTGTACTTGACAAAAGGCCACCAGTTCCTATTCCCGCACCTCGCACGCACGATTTTCCCATGCCTTCGCGCAATTCATGCTCACCTGAACCATCAACTGTGCCAGCACACAAAGCTATACCAGACTGCATCATTTTAGATCATGAACTCGAGTGCGCGCCGGCAAAGCGCAACCAGAAGCGCACTGCAGGTGCCTCTTTGCCCCCATAATCATCTCTTTCTTCACCTGTTTTGCACACTGACAATTCTCATTTGCTGCCCATATCAGCATCAATCGCATCGCCCATAGTCAGGGATGACTCTAAACATCTATTGCACAATAACGCGCCCATTATGGAAGTTATTATGCCACCGCTCAAAATACACTCGCCTAAGGAAGAAATCCTGCCAATCGCGCCTTCACCGTCACCGCTATCGCCGTTCACATCGCCAGAGGTCAGGGATGACCCTAAACATCTATTGCACCTTAGTGCGCCTATAGAGGAGCCTTCTACCGCATCAGAGGCTCAAGTAACACCTCACGCCAACCAGAGTTTGTCTCTGGTAATTCCATCTGTCACTAACGATCATGCGCATGTCATGCTTTTTGCTTCCAGTGACTATCGCTTGCCGGTAAAACATCCGTGCATCATGCTGCCTAACCACCAAGCAGAGCATGTCTCAGGCAACCCTGGGGTGACTCAGGCGCACCATATTGCGCCTGAGAACGCGCAATGCGCGTGCCTAGAGGCATTGTATAGTTTCCCTCATCTCATTTCACATTTTTTGTCCCTTTCATGTTTAAAGCTCTTAAGGAGCTATATGAGAATTCCAAACACTTTAATTTCATCTTCGCACCACCCCTTGTTCATGCGCCATGATCGCGTGCATCGCGCGGTAATTCCCGCGCCTCGCGCATTCATAATTTTAGCAGAGTCTTCACACTATCGCACTTCTATTGTCTCTCCCCTTTTAAATCACTTTTATGTCATTCAACACGAAATATATTCCAATCAGCCATCCAGGCGTGACTTAGGCGCATGCCTGACACATACATATGCGCCTAATTTCCCCATCATCACCTTTAACACTTTCCACATTTATTCGCATTCTTCACATTCTTGCTTACCATGTCAAATTTGGTCCTGCACACCCTGACATGCACTATTCTCTTTCACCTATGCGCCTATTGCGCCTTTATAAACCACCCTTACAGCCCATTCGCACAACATTTGTACCTAATTCCAAACTATATATGTCTCTCACTAACACATTTGCAGAGAAATGGCCGTTCCTCGCGTGTTCGGCCAATATAATCAAATTCACACAAAATCGCCTCAAGGCGCGTACATCACGCGCATCCTATCAACTTGTAGAGCACCTCTACATCCCTTGCAGCGCCTCCCATTGGCGCGCCTTCAACCTGCAGCGCGTTGTGCAGGAATTTATTCTGCCAGTTACTAGCCCGCCTTGGAGTCGCAATCAAAAAGGCTTGATGAAGAGGAACCAAGCACCCCAAGCGCACCAGCCTTGCGCCTTCTGACCCTCGCCTATGCCACACACACCACGCACTTCAAGCGCTTCAGCTGCACATCAAAGAAAAGACACATAACAACACTGTTTCATAGGATACTGTTCATTTTACCCTGGGTTTCATCCAGTGCTCTTTCATTTTTATTTTTCTCTCATTATACCGCCGTCCAAAGGACTAATAACACACAGATATATATGCATATAGGGATTGCCTAGAAGAATATAGAAGAAAAACAACAAAACAACCTTAGATCGTGCCCGCCTAGCTCAATAGGATATTATTTTCTCTTCGCACGCATGACGTGGCACCATGCTCTTTTTACCTTAGAACGCGCAGATATGTGCGCAATCTTCCCGCACCCATGCGCCTCACGTGCGCACGCGCTTCCCACGCCTTGCTCATAGGAAGATGTAGATGTCGACAGCCGCACGAAGAAGACAAGCCGGATAGGACATCCACAAAGTTTACTGTTTTCTCTTCATATTTTCGCATATAGTTTTACTCATGCTGTTCAAACCTTTAGCACCTAATATTTAGCGCACCTAGCAGGACTTGGTTTGGACATGGATTGGATCGCTCTTGGACCGCGCCACTTCACATCATGCTCACGCATGCATATTGGACTCAGAGATCATTGTGCAACAGCCCCTTGCGTTCCCACAGAATGCAGCGCATGCGACACTCACGCATGTTCTCGCGCCTTGTGCACGCGCACTTGCCCACGCTTCACACCATACGCGCACGCCTCGCCCACGCTTTGCACACCACAGCCATATCACTCTCACATCATCGCCTCACACCCATGGTGCATTATTCACACCAGAGTCACCCTTGCAATTTGCCATGCTATGTTGCATTCCCACGCCTCGAGCACATATGCGCACACACTTTCCCGCACCTTTGTGCCTCATGTGCACCTGCGCATTCCCGCGCTTCGTGCATATCATGTGATACATTCCTACGCGTGCGCATTCATCGCCCAACAACCCAAGCATCATACTCACATACTATCACTCGAGATCCTCACCACACACACGCTGAGTGGGGACACTCAGAATTTAAGTCCCTGGGAGATGTAGAGACTCATGCCTCTCCTTGTGCAATATTGCAGTTTTCACCAAGGAGTATACAGCACGAACTTGTAGCATCACTCTGTATGCTTCCTACAGCTATTCCTACATGAGGCGCAGCATTCCCGCGCTTCGCGCATTCTCGCGCCTTGCGCGTACCTGCACTTTCCTGCACTTCGCATTCGCCAACCAGTAGCGCCTTTGGCGCCTACTACTAGATCCTTGCTGCACTCGCTTCCCCTTTAGGGTCGAACGCACTTGTCGTCTCAAGTATAGCAGACTAGGCAATGCGCGACCTTACAACATTTATAGATACAGTCAGGAGCATTGTTTGTGCCTCGCTGTATCGTTGAACCTTCACCTGTTACGCTGACCGTTGGTCGGCGTGTGCAAACTAGGATAGGTCTTCTTAGCGATGGCTCGAGTGAGCCTACTGAAGCTAAGGGTGGTTCTTGGCTTGACGGAACATCAAGGGTTTCTCCGGTGATCTCGGTAAGACGGCGCTCATTGAGATACAGGGCTAGCGGATACAGCTAAGAAGCGGGGAGTGACTTAGAAGTGTGGTCTTAGACAGCTGAGCTGTGAGGCTTAGCTGAGGAAGTTCTGGGATGAACCTAGTAGATTAAAGTACAGTCTAAGTACAATAATCTGTCTACTTATATGTGCTACATGTAAGTGTTCAAGCTCAGTCTGTAATCTATAGTATATCTAGGATCTATGATAACAAGACATGAGGTTCAGATAAGGTACATGAGGCTTAACCTCTGATCAAGCATGCAGCGCCAAGTGCGACTGCGCATATGCATGAGGCGCTAGGAAGCGCTCCGGATCTACATGAAGCGGCATGAGGTATACATGCGCTGATCTAGGGTGACCATGAGGTGTACAGCCTCCATGGATCAGGTACAAGGCTGTCTAGGCCAGGGGCGGTGTCACAGCGGTCCAGACCGCTGTCTTTCTAAGTGCAGGCGGTGTGCTGCCGCGTGGGGAGTCTAGCAGAGCGGGGGCTGGCGTAGGCAGAGCGGGGGCTCCTGTAGGTGTTACGGATGCCTGTAACATCACCGCTACGATGGATGTACGAAGATTCATCCAAGTGTTTGGCGGGATGATTTTGCACAGCACACCCCATCTGTATTTATCAGCACTCCCCTTCTCACCTGTCAACTCTACCATTGCTACCAAATTCACGGCTAGGTTTCCGAATAGCCTTCGTCTGGTACGCGGCTGGGATTTGAATTGGACAGTTGTTGAGGCGATAATCACTGGGCACACTGACGCGGTTCAGTCAGTCTCGTTCTCACCGGATGGTACTCACATCGCATCTGGTTCGGAGGATGACACTGTGTGGCTGTGGAATGCAGCGACGGGACAGCCATTGGGTGAGCCCTTGAAGGGGCACACTGGCCCGGTTTTTTCAGTCTCGTTCTCACCGGATGGTACTCGCATCGCATCTGGTTCGTGTGATAACACTGTGCGGCTTATGAGAGTGCTGCCATTCCTCGAATCAAGAGAACCGGATTCCTCTGCATCTCCATTCCATCGATGTACCGCACCTCCCACTCAGGAGACTCATATCACACCAACCAAAACTTTTGACTATCTCCCCATTTCCTTCTCGCCCTGCCTAAAACATGCCCTGCCCAACCCCCCTTACTTGCTCGAACCCACCTCTGGACATCATTCTAATCCAACCTTTTTCTTGCTGCAGCCTGATGGGTGGATCATGGGACCCAATCATGAGCTCCTTTTTTGGGTACCTCCTGCTTCGCGCCCCGCGTTTTATTCTCCTGACACCGCAATGGTGATCCCCAGAGGAGGTGTTGAGCTTGATTTAAGCTGCATGGTACATGGGACGCGCTGGTCGAGTTGCGGAGACGCGTGAGTTCCTAGTCTTTACCATATGTCCTCGCAGTTGCTAACATCAAACCCTCCAGCTCCGCATAACAATGATTTTATTGCTGCAATATCAAGCGTACCATTTGATTCTATATTCCCTTCCTATTTTATACCTAGCACCGATCCTGAATATATGGTTGTCCGACTGAACAATGCACTGAACAGCAGAGTGGGCGATCCTGCAATGTTGCTGCTGATTTGCAGCGAAAACTAGTTTCATCAGAGATGCCCTTGGACATCATGCTGATGTGTCACAGGTGCTTCAGTATTTCTAATCTCATCACCGTCAGTCTCAATCAAAGTGTATGTGATAAAGCGACTGCAACCTTGCACATACAGAGACATAAGAACATGCTGATCGATTCATTCTGACTCATCTGATGGGATCATTGAACTCGAGTGCTCTGTTCGTCTCTACTTATCAATTTCGCAGCAGTGCCTGAAGACAGTACTAGGATCATACTTGGAATCGATATCCTGCCGTGTGTGTTCCTGTCTCTCATCATAATACTTCTTTGTCGAGTTCTTGTTTCATTTTTTTTATGAAGCGACACCACGACGTCAAGATGTTTAGCCACCAATCAGTCGACTGCAGATAAATTATATTGATCAAGAACGAAAAATCATGCGAGCACTCGCCAACGATACATACACTGCTGATAATATTATGCGCGTGGTAGCTACAAGGACGCTGATATGTCTGTACAAACCACCGGCCTGCTTTCGACTCCTAGAGAAGGCGGATAAAAAGCAAAAGCACTAAGATGTGCAAGTGTTCGTGTCCGCCCTACTTTGGCGCAGACCAGCGTGATTGTGTAGGCAGCGTCTGGGCTTGCTGGGCGGTGTGTTCAACGTAAGTCTGAGCTTTGCTTTGCTGCTACTTATAAGTATGTTTGCACTCAGCGGCAAAAGCGAAGGCGACAGCGGAAAGGCAGCCTACTTTGAGCTCTCCTGATAATTAGCATAAGATAAGTACTTATGTCGAGAAATTTACGGTGGCGCTCAGCCAAAAGTCCCACGTGCGCTCACGTGGTCTCGATCTTTGCCCTTTTCGAGCCGGATCACTGCGTGACGGCGGTCGTGACGCGTGATTGCGCCAAATGGACGCAGATGGGTACGAAAAAAGCGGAGCGCGTGACGGCCGCCGACGCGCAGGTTCAGGCCTGCTCACTCACTCGCTCGCTCGCTCACTAGGCTTTGTGTCTGATTTTCGTCGTTGGTGTGGACCTCCCGGACCTCAGGACATTCGAAACCAACTTGCAAGAACTTAGAAGGCACGCGGGAAAGACGGACTCGGAGGAAAGAAGCACGAAAGAGTTGGGGGAACTAACTAGCGCTGGGAAGGAGAGAGTACGGCGAGGAAGTACCTAGGGTAGAGAAGTAGGTGCGGGAATGTACAGTATCAACAGTCCTGGCATGTGGCCTTTGCAATATGAAGTGATTCGTGGTTATAGTACTTACAAGTTACGAGCGTTCGAGTGGGCGGCAGTAGTTGGTATGGTTCCGAAGTGAGAGTCCTCTGTGTCATTTGTTGCGACGGACACGCTCTCCTCGTGCAGCCCGTGCCTTGTTGACGGCTGCAAGCAGTGGGGTGTGTCCCCGCTCGGCTTCTGGGTAGGCTGCAAGGAAGAGGGCTTCATCTGACTGGTAACTGGAGGTGACGAGGAAGAAAGAACAAAAGAATGTGTGAGCGCTGACGTGTGGATCGCAGCCGGAAGCACTCACTGGTTGATGAACTCGCGCGCAACAACAGCCCTGTTCTGGTACTGCATTGCGAGCTTCCAGTTCGGGCCTTGGTACCACTCCTGCGGCCAGTCCTTGAGTGGCGTCTTCAACCCTCTGTCGGGGTCACCGACGAGCCAGTGTGTGATGATGTCCCTCCAGGACTCGGCCTTCGGAGTCTTCAACCCGTTCGAACGGACGAGTGGCAGCCGTGGAATGACAAGACCGTTGCTTGGGAGTTGTTGAGTCGAGGCTGTGTGCGCAGCAGCAGATGGCAGTGGTCGAGTAGTTGGAGTGATGTGTGCGTGGCCATGGCTCCTGCGGACAGATGACAGAGGACGGGAGTGTGTTGGTGGTGGATGGACATGCCGAGGAGTTGAAATCTGAGGAGACTCTGCACTGCCAGATGCGGAGACTCGGAGAAGGGTGAAGCGGGGATCTTCTTCGAGCTGTGTTGGAGGTAGGTGTCCAGCAGCCTTCAGGCAACTTGAAGTGGCCTGGACCATGCTGGTGAGTGACCGAAGCGAGTCGTTGACTGCACTGACGTCAACTCGCAAACGATTGACATCTGCGGTCACGGATGCATGAACCATGCGCAGCTCCTCAGTGGATGCTGGCCTCATGAGTGCCTGCTCGCCTGCAAGGGAGGATTCAGCTTCGCGGGAGAAAGGAGCGAGGGCATCACTGTAGTCAGTCTCATAGGTGTGTAGTTCGTCGAGAAGGTAACGAATGAGCGTGTTTCGCTGGGAATAGAATGAACGAGTGAGAGCGAGAAAAAAGTAGATCATTGAAGGCACATACCTGTTCACCATCAGCCCATCCTCCCCACCATCGAACCATGGCAAGTGACCACTGCTGACCAACCGGTGCGAACATAAACCAATACTGGGCACCTCCACGGCGGAAGCAGTGAGTCGAAAAACAGCCTAGGATGCCAGCACCTGTCGTTGCCTCGTCAATCCACTTTTGCACAGTGTCATGGGAGAGAGGCTGTCCAGGCTGCATGATGCCATTGGCACCCATCGAAGGGAAGATGAAGTCGTTTGGCCCGAGTGTGCGCCCGTAATGAAAAAACTCGAGCCATTTGATCCAGAGCAACATCCAGATGAAGCTGTCGCAGGAAGGCATGTCTGGGTGGGGAAATATCTTGTAGTGGTTGGCTGGTGTGAGGCACATACACTGCTACATCAGCAGGGCGTCACTTCATGCTAATCTGAATCAACTCACACCTAAGGTCTGCCTCGCAGATGCCCTTATCGACCCTTTTCTGCCATCCTTTTCGGTTCGAGAGGAATATTTCGAAATAGGTGTTGCTGTCGCTGAGTGTCAGTGGCTCGCGTGCCAGATACTTTTTCATGACGGTGTCCAGCAGGATTGTGTCGAGCGAGATGTCTTTGCGCTGCAGTTTCACGAGTTTGAAGCACCTACCAAAATGGTAAGTCAGCGAGCGCACATCAATTTCAGCAGGCAGGACAATACCTGCTCCATAAGGTCCATGCGCCAGCATCGAAAGTGACCTGTTCAAGATGGCGAGTGAGCTGGGTCCTTGTGTCGAGAGTCAGTTGGACCTGCGAAGGCAGTGTGCCGCTCATCACTAGCTGGATGGCCTGCAGTGCGATCTCCAGTGGGCATGTGGCCTCATGCCATTGGAGCATGCGATCCATGAAGTCTTTTGTCATTGCCATCGAGTGAGTTCGATCTCCGCCCTCTGCGCTGGCCTTGTGCTTGACAGATGCCATCACGTCGTAAACTTCCGCTGAGTCGGCTGGATTTCCCTCCCAGCGCTGTCTCGCCTCATTGAAACTCCACTTTCCACGAAACGTGCCGCCATCCCTGGTACAAGTCAGTACTCTCAGTCTGTACTGGTCCTGCAGGGTGTTGCTCACGCTTGCTCCCAGAGCTTTTTGAATGCTGCGCGGATACTTTCGACCATGTTCTTGCTGAGGTTTTCGTGGAACCCCTTCAGGGACATGAAGAGGGCCAGCGCCTTGTCGGAGCATCGGTTTGGCGTGCACCCGAATGCATCTTTGAAGGCAGGATCTGCATACACATCGCTGTCTGGATTGTCTCTAACGAAAGAGGGCACTGACAGTGCCACCGGCTGTACCAAAGGCTCTTTGGGCACTGAGCAGTCCCCCTCGTCAGCGGAGCAGCTTGGTGCATCAAAATGGCTCGCGAGCCACTCACGTCCCCGGCGTACATGGCCAGCATAGCTGCTCCTGGTCTTGTTTGCTTGGAGGTGCGTTTCAATTCCAAGTTCCTTGCATTTCTGGATGTCAGCCAAAGCTGACTTCGGGATAGCTGATTCTTTCCTCCGCCTCAGCTTCTTTTGAATGACGTCCGATGCCCCCTTCTTTGATCGTGCCATGTGGGAGGTAAAACACAAGACAGAGGTAATTGGTGGGACAGCTCTGAAATTTCAGAGGGTATGATGTCACTCCATGTTTTAAAATTCACTTGGCTCTCAATTTTGATTGACCCGCACTGTCGTAACACATAGTAGACTACACTAGTAAAGCATCACACTGAATTTCAACTACATACTGAGCACAAGAGTGAGTACCGTAGGATACCATCTGCCAAACCAAACACTAGCGCATACAGAACCATGATGCTGCTGCCGCGACCCCAAGCTTTCTTGAAGTAGTCCTGCACTCGCGCTGAGAGAAGCTGTTATGGATGTGATTCGTATGAAAACCTACCTTGACCGTCGTGTTCTCAAACTCAAAGTTTCCAGCATTGGCAACCAATCCTTGGATATTTTCGAGGCCCGGCCGGTGGACAAGCATGACAGAAATGCCCTGCCTGAACTGTGGCGAATCTGGGCGGAGGTCCAGTGCACGAACATCGTTCTGCTTGAGAACAGCAAGAGCGGTGGTCTGAAACCGGTGGACGAGCGTGACAGAAGCACCCTTGAAGGTGTTCTTGAACTGGCTGAACTGTGGCAAATCTGGGCGGAGGTCCAGTGCACAAACATTGTTCTGCTTGAGAACAGCAAGAGTGGCGGTCTGAAACTGGTGGACGAGCATGACAGAAACGCCCTTGAAGGAGTTCTGGGTGGAGGTCCAGTGCATGAACGTTGTTCTGCTTGAGAACAGCAAGAGCGGCGGTCTGAAACTGGTGGACGAGCGTGACAGAAACACTCTTGAAGGAGTTCTTCAACTGGCTGAACTGTGGCGAATCTGGGCGGAGGTCCGGTGCATGAACGTTGTTCTGCTTGAGAACAGCAAGGGCGGCGGTCTGAAACTGGTGGACGAGTGTGACAGAAGCACCCTTGAAGAAGTTCTTTATTGCTGGACATCCCTCCAAGAATGGGACACTGGGTCCAGCCAACGGATTCCTGCTGAAGCGGTTGAAATGAATATTAGCATTAAAAAAACGGCCCCAAGTCAGATTCAAAAAGCAAAGGGACTCAGAGTATGAGTACGTCACACACTGGACATCCAGATAACCTACAAAAGGCTTGTCCGGACATGCGCAACCTACTGAGTTGGTTCACCTACAGAAGGCCTGCCAGCTCGGGAAGAGATGATGGAATGTTCCAAGTAGAACTTGAAGGAGGAACAAGTAAACAAAGACTTACACGAAAGACGACTCTGGCAATGATCCAAGGCAGTATCATCATATGACAAATAGTAGTAGTGTTTCTAGATGAGAATGTCAGTCAAAGGTATGCTGAAAAGTTTGATTGTACCTTCTAATCACACAAAACCGCAGTGTTACAGTAGCACACCATGCGGGGGGCAACGTTAATGACCGTCGAGATTCGGACCGTGGTGTTGTACCCATTCTGCCTGTGACAAATAGTTTTAGATATCCTACAGGTGAAAAAATAATCAATATTCGATGTACGCAACTTCCAATTGTGCCAGGATGGGCATTCACAGATTTCAAGGTGCAAGGAAGCTCTTTAGACCGAGTCATTGTGGATTTGACATGGGCGCGTTCCCTTCAGAGTATCTATGTAATGTTATCACGCGCACCTAAATTGAGCCACGTAGCAATTCTGAGATGGTTTTCATCTAGGACACTGAATTCTGACTTACAAGGTGACACATGAGCAGAACTGAAGCGATTGAATATTGTGGCGAGAGACACCCGGCAGAGATATCTTACACAGGGGAATCCAAAGGACAAAAGAGACGATGCCAGCGATTCTATCTCTTCGGCCAAAGTCAATCGTATGCGAGGAGGTTAGCTAGCACAGAGCACAATCCTCAGTAGGTAGAGAGTGTAGCTGGAATGACGGGACTATGTGAGTCCTTGTAACCAAACAATTTCGAAAGCATGACTCACATTTCATGGGCTCTCGTGATGTCAATCGTAGGTTTTGGTAGTCTTTGATGTCTTGTCAAGACAACACAGCGAAATGTAAGCTGAGGATGAGGGTGGAGCGAAGGAAAGTCTAACCTTGGGGTGTATTTTGAGATTGGGATGCCGATGCGGATAGTTTCCGCTCAATTTGCTATTCGATGTATTAGAATACTTCAGGGTGTTACCAAAAATACGGCATCATACTTCGATAATGTTTTTGAACCACTGCAGACGCTCCTGCATCTCTTGCGTGACACGGGTGAAGAATCTAGCCAGCAACATGTCAACACTTTCAAGTTACTTCACATTGATGATCTACACATACTCCAGAGGGAACGAAGCATGATTCTTGAGATATGCTGTGCTCTGATGCGGGTTTTTAAAGCCCTCGATGATGTTGGTTGCGACAATCGTGTCTTGAACTGCTTGTTCAGTCTTCACTTTCAGGTCCTTGGCGAAGAGAGAGTCCGACTGAATAACGGAGGATACACCAAGCAGCTCCTGGATCAATAAAGTCGGTAACCAAACATACTGGATATATGCAATAAAATGAGGCGCACCTTGTGCAATTCGCGAATTAACTCCTGGCCCTTGATCGCCTCTTCCCCCATTTTTCGCTGTTCAAGCTCGTTGCTTATTTGTATACATCCCTGAATGTGCGAGCTATGCGAAGTAAGTCCTAGGACATGTTAGCACTTATGATTAGCGTACTCGATAGTTTCAAACGTCCTCTTGATATCATCTGGAAGATCATTAAACTTCGTAGATTTTGAAAAAGGTGCAGGTCCGGTTATGGGTGTGGTACTACTCGAATGTCATTGAAGCCACCCTGAATATAAGTACCTTTGACTAACCTCATCATCCTGCGATATGTCAACACCAATTTGAATTAGAACGATGCGAAAGGAACTCACGATGATTGTCTTTGTTGACTAGTAGACTATAAATTTCGCTACTGGGGAAGGGTGTGTGCAATACGGGGGCCAACGTTAACGACCGTCGAGGAAGATGGGAGGCGACGGAGAAGAGACATCATGTGTCATGTGACCGTATTGTCTAAGTCACCATTTATGGCAACTGAGTAGGATGGGGAGGGCGGAGGGACAGGTGAGGTAGAGTAAAGTGCAGTAAAGTGCGAATTCTGGTGGGTAAAGTGAGTGAAGTGCGGGACAGTGAAAAATTTACGGTAAAGTTTGTAAAGTTTGTAAATTTTCCCGGCAGGCGCACGCGCCTGCCGGGATATTCCTCAACATCTACTAATAATTGTAAATTTTCACTCACCTTCTCGTTGATTCACAACGGGAGGCCTGCAGAACCAAGGTGCGACTCTGATGCATCTTTGTCGTTCTCGCACCCTCATTTGAAATCTTTGATTTCACACTTGCATTCATTCTGAATTTCTGACCGTGACTTCGTGCTATTAAATGATTGTCCGTGGAATCATGTATGACAGTCTCCTACTACTCTACTGATACAATCCATCTATCCATCCGTCTTCTAAGCCCAACCGTCCGTTGTCGCAGCTGCATCTACCGTCGTGGGGGCCGCGCGTAGGTATCTTCAGGTTGCTCGGCGTTGTGTGACCGTGACATACCCTTGTTGGGTAGCGGAGGAATCTTGGGAGGAATCTGCTTTACAGCGTTTACATTAGGTAATCGTAAATTTTCGCAGATAAACAGACTTATGTCGAAGCAAACAAATGTTCAATTTTGAGGGAATAGGTTTCCTGAGAATACGGTATGTACAAGATGCGCGCTTCACAGGAGGTGACAGCATGGAAAGGGCTGACTGCCGCAGAGGCGTATTACCAGCAACACAGCAGCAAGCTATGACAAGAGGTGCATCATACACAAATTATATAACACTGACAGGGAACGGTGGAGCTCAGCTGGGGCACATCCATGAGAGTCACGCGAATTGCTTCCGCGGAATCAAACGTTCTGTTCTCATATACATGGAGCGACCTGCGAATTACAATCATGTTGGCTCAGATCAGTTGCGGTAATAGGCATGTGCACGTTCAGTACGACGGTTCTTCATCACCAAGCACCCCGCGCATGAAAACCACGATGCTCTAATCGGCGCGCAGCGACTACACACCTTCCCCCCGCAGCCTTCGCATGTTCCGGCGAGTGTAGCAAACATTTCTACTCCGTCAGATGCATCCTCGGTGCAGTCATCCACATCCGATGTTTCTTCAGCGCAATCATAGCAGAGAGTAGTACGGTTGCACCGTTTGCATTGATCGATATATGTGCAAGAGGTGCAGAACGGCTTGTCACAGCGCGGACAACGGATAAAGATGCTGCTATCGTGCTCCGCGCAAACATCACATGCCCACACTTTCTGACACGCACACGTGATACCACCACTGGTGCATTGCGGGCAGATCTCATTGTGCTTTGACCAACAGAAGTTACCTGGGCATCTCCGCCAGCCACGTAGCCTGCATCGGCCGCAAGAACCGTACTTGAGAGGGTGAACTTTAGCTGATCGGGAGCAGATAGTCATCATACGCTGAAAGTGATCAAGAGAGGATGCGCGAGAAAGCGAAGGGATGGTAACGGGATGACCGATACACTCGCTTATATCCTTGGGACAGCACCAAGATTTGCACGCAGGACATTTCTCTAGCTCTCTCTTGGATCCCTGCTCTTCGAGGCACGGAAAGCATAATACATTGTCTAAATGCTTAGCGCACCGTATGAGTGGGGGTTCGGAAGATCCACGGCAATCGACCGACCGGCACGATACAACCTTACAGCTTTTGCAGCGGATAAGACCAGCGGGGCATAAAGAGCATCGGATTCTACTGGTATCTGTGCCACCAGCAGTCTCTTGCTGTGAAACACGCTGATGGTATTTCTAGAGTACTTGATTTGCATCATGATAGTGGATGAATACAAAGCAACGCCTACCTCCTCTTGCATCTGTTCCCATATCCTACGGCCAAAACTACAGTCCGAAGTTGGTTTCCACTTTGATAGCTGACCTTCTGATGACGAACTCGCGAACAAACCAGGAGATGTCCATCAGAATTGGGGAAAGCTCTCCAGGGAGCGAAATGCACGTGTTCTGTACCTTATCTTTGATCTGCATGTCCGAGTCATGCAGCGCAACATCAAAGCGTGTATCAGTCTGTGCGGAAAGGCGCAGATGTATGACGAGGCTTGATATTTCAGGAGGACCCGCCTTTTCTTGCGAGACTGCGTATTCGAGGGTTGCGATGTGTTTTACTTCAATTGTGGAACTCGGTTCGTTTGATGGGTCTAAAACATGATAGACAGCTTTCATCGCCCGGTATACGTTCATCCGCATTGGATGACCCTCCGGATCGTTCGCTGGGTTTTTGGGCGAAATTATTGTCCAGGCAGGCATACAGAGTAAATGGACGAGAGTACTTTATTGGATAAGAGCAAGTGGACTTGAAGTGGGGATGAGCATGGCACATTGAAACGAGTCTCACGGTGTATTATCTCTCACCAGCTTTCACCGTGCCTGAGAATTAAGTTAGAAACGTCCCATCGACGTGAGGCAGACTTCTCAGAGAACACAACTAGCTTCAAGTTCCAATGCGGTATCAAATCAATTGAAGGATGCGGGGTCCCCGAACTTTGTCTAGCCTGAGGCTGCAGCGCTTGTTATTATTCAAACTTGAACAAGTCTCGATTCTTAGCGCTCATCGACCCGTCAACATCGCCGCAACCTGCAAGGTGAGGTCAATGTCAGAAATATTGGATCTGGGATATCCTTGAAACAATTAATAAGCTGAATTCATCCGCAGGCCGCACATTGGCAGTTGCCAGTTTGATCAGTCAGCGCTAGTCAGCACTAATATGTAAAGCAACCGTGATTGCGTCCGAAGATTCATCGTATATTCTAATATCCCGACCAGTCCTCGGAAACCATTTAGTCATGCGCCAGCTCGACCCATGTATAAGTATCTCAGCTATATCCTACTCATCGAATCTCCCACTTGGACGACATGCCTCACGAACAGATCACCCTTTACACTGCGAAGGTACTGTATACTTGCATCACGCTATGAATCCATCTACTGACATTGACCCATGCACATACTAGGCATGCCCCTACGCCCAGAGGGTATGTGCTTGTCAGCCTTGACAATTGTACCTGTCGTAACTCAACCAATTCAGACTGAAATTGCCCTCGCCGAGGTTGGTGCTCCATTCAAAAGATACGAAATCGATCTGGGGAATAAGCCAGAGTGGTACGCCCCAAAGGTGAACCCTGCCAGCAAGGTATGCGTTACACTCTTGCTTGCGAAGTGATCACATCTTGAAGTAGACTCGTCCTAGGTGCCGGCTATCGCTTATGGTGGTCCCGATGTTTCCCCAGAAAACGCTTCTCCCAAGTCTATCAAATTGGCAGAATCGCTGATTCTGGTCGAGTTCATCGGTGATTTGTACCCCTCCTCCAGTATCTTACCTGCGGACCCTGTGCAGCGCGCCCAGGCCCGTTTCTTCATCGAGGTCGTGTCCACCAAGTTCAGTCCCAATTTCATGAAGTTTATATCCGGCAACCCGGAAGGCACCCATGCCGCACTCTTGGCTGGCGTGGATGCAATTCAGGACCTTCTACCTGACGGGGTAAAATACGCTGTCAACGACCAGTACACCATCGCAGACATCGCATTGGCGCCGTTCTGGGCAAGATTGAACGTGTTGGTGCAGAAGGGAATTGGTGCCTACAAAGATGAGGAAAGGAAGAAATTCTTGAAGGGTCTGGAGGACCCCAAGTATACGAAATTCAATGGTTATGTGCAAAGATTGCTAGCGAGGCAGAGCTTCAAATCTACATTCCACGAGGTGCGTCTGCTACTCTGCCGATGATTGCTGCCATCGTAATAACTTGTCGATAGGACGTTGTGGAAGAGATCTTCACCAGCAAGTTCGGCTTAGCTAAATAAGCACATAATTATCATAATGTAACATAACAACGATTGCGTACCATCAACCATTATTCGAGTGTTTCAGACTGATTCTCTATCGAGTGACCCTATAGGCTCGAGGTGATTCCCACGCGGGTCCTCCAGCCACGATAAATAAAACCGCTCAGTGTGCTTTTACTACAGGATGAGAGGAGAAACATTGGTGAGTGAGACAATCTTGGACCCATGTGATAGGGAACACCCAAAAATTTACCTCACAACTAATCATCGTGCCCAGTGCGCCACCCATTCCGTATCGGCGTGTTTTGTCCTATCTGTCGCAGAAGGTAGACCCCGAAATTGTGTGCCTTCCGGTCAGTGGCACTCCTTAGCTTACGAGGTATACATTCGAGTATTTAACCGTGTCGTCTCACGACATCTCGTTGTTCTTGCTGATTGTGTCCACGGGTTGGCCGCCATGCATGCTGCTGGCAACGGGAAGTCCCACAGGTGGGTAAGCGGCTTCCATGCTCTCCCACAGTTGACACTCTAGACCAACATTTATAGTCGGAGGCCTTTTGACAGAAGAAAACAAACTACGAAGAATTTCATGGAATGCGACTCCGGTGTACTCTTTGCACCCTTGACACCACTCGGAAAAGGTACCGAAGGCCTTTCAGGGTGAGTTTCGTTGTAGGTAGTAATCTGCCACGGTGTGTTTCAGAGAACCTCCAGCGAGGAGGAGCGAGGGGTTCATTTCATCGGTGATGCAGGTACGACTTGCCAAATGTTGATTCAATTGAGTGCTTTGCATTGTCTGCCCTTTGTCTAGCCAATGGTACTAATTGCATTTGGCTAACAAGGAGATGGTCAATATAAAATATACCATCTTTACGAGAAACAAGGGTGAAGCTACGACGGTGTCAACTGAGTGACCGTTACAGTCTGCCGCTACTTGAACGTTCGAACTGCAATTGAAGCGCCCATACTAATAACACACGCTCGAAGCTATTCATAATCGATGGGTCACCTGTCTAATGGTACCAGCTACATGAGTAGTACCATTGAATTCTTCACACCTCGACACCTCAATCGACTACTGAGGCCGTTATCGCCTGTTAATCGTCTGGTTATCCAAGTAACATCACACTGTTAATATAGCACATCATGGATCGTATTCTACGGTATCCTATCGCACTACTCACCTGACAGTACTCAAGCAGGGGCAAGAGGTGGCATCGGGCTAGAGACTGTGAAATTGTTTTGTGGTAGTAAGCAATTTACTCTCGAGTGACGACTACTGAGTTGAAACAAACTCGGATATCCACGACCGGCACCTGCTAAAATTGAAACTCCGTGCTTCGCCTGCCAAATTTCTTCGAGATCTGCAATCACGATCACACTTTTTCGACTGAGAACGACCAGTCTTAATAGCTACGTCAAACACTTAACATCTCAGACGTGGTTACGAGTCTATAGATTTAGCCCGAACGGCGCGGCATATACCGCAGCTACTAGTGGCGCATTTTTCTTGTCGCTGATAAAGCAACTAATCATGATTGCGTCAGATTCATCACATATTCCTCATGTACTATAGATATCCCGATCAGTCCTCGAGATCATTCAGTTAGTCATGCACCAGCTCAACCCATTATAAGTATCTCAGCTAGTGTATCCAACTCATCGAATCTCCCACTTGGACGACTAACATACCATGCCTCACGAACAGATCACCCTTTACACCGCGAAGGTACTGTATACTTGCATCACGCTATGAATCCATCTACTGACATTGACCCATGCACATACTAGGTATGCCCCTACGCTCAGAGGGTATGTGCTTGTCAGCCTTGAAAATTGTGCCTGTCGTCATAACTCAATCAATCCAGACTGAAATTGCCCTCGCCGAGGCTGGTGCTCCATTCAAAAGATACGAGATCGATCTAGGGAATAAGCCAGAGTGGTACGCCCCAAAGGTGAACCCTGCCAGCAAGGTATGCGCTACGCTCTTGCTTGCGAAGTGAGCACATCTTGAAGTAGATTAATCCTAGGTGCCGGCTATTGCTTATGGTGGTCCCGATGTTCCCCCAGAAAACGCTTCTCCCGAGTCTACCAAATTGGCAGAATCGCTGATTCTGGTCGAGTTCATCGGTGATTTGTACCCCTCCTCTGGTATCTTACCTGCGGACCCTGTGCAGCGCGCCCAGGCCCGTTTCTTCATCGAGACCGTGTCCACCAAGTTCAGTCCCAATTTCATGAAGTTTGCATCCGGTAACCCGGAAGGCACCCGTGCCGCTCTCTTGGTCGGTGTGGATGCCATTCAGGACCTTCTACCTGATGGGGTAAAATACGCTGTCAACGATCAGTACACCATTGCAGACATTGCATTCGCACCGTTCTGGGCAAGATTAAACGTGTTGGTGCAGAAGGGAATTGGTGCCTACAAAGATGAGGAAAGGAAGAGCTTCTTGAAGGCTCTGGAGGACCCTAAGTATGCGAAATTTAATGGTTATGTGCAAAGATTGCTAGCAAGGCAGAGCTTCAAGTCCACATTCCACGAGGTGCGTCCGCTACTCTGCCGATGATTGCTATTATCATAACCACTTGCCGATAGGACGTTGTGGCAGGGATTTTTACCAAGAGGTTCGGCTTGGCTAAATAAGCACATAAGTGGATATTGTCATATGTAACATACAACGATTGCGCACCATTAACCATCATTTGAGTGTTTCACACTGATTTTATATCGAGTGGGCGATAGGCTCGAGGTGATGTCCACGTGGGTCCTCCAACCATGATCAACAAAACGGCTCAGTGTGTTTTTACTACAGGATGAGGGGAGAAACATTGGTGAGCGAACCAAATCTTGGACTCACGTGATAGAGAACACTCAAAAATTTACCTTTGGGTGTTCTGAGACCTTTGCACGCGCAGCACCGCGGTTCCAGGAGCATACATATGGTGTTGTCTTGCTCTTTCCGCGGGATCGTTAGTATTCAGAATGCGACTCTGGTCAGTGTGCACCCGGTTCTGTTCTTTCACTAACATGATGCGCAATACAACGAAACATGGCTGTCAAAACAAATTAGTACGAAATGCGCGAATGCGCATCACCGCTCTGCATCGAAGATTCGGAGCGTCACCTTCTCTGTCAATTCCGCGCGTTCCAGCTGAACTGCAAATGGCAAACCCTGCGACCTGCTCATGCGACGACATCCGGACCTTAAGGACTGAAGTACTGCTGCTCCAGGCTTGACCTACGCAGTGTGCAAACATCTATTCTATAAAAGAACGCTGAAAGATTGCGGCAGTAATCACAAAGAGATATTTGTATCGCCTACGGCAGATTGCAGAAAGCCTCGCCCGCTTCCGAGTCACGTCCTCGTGAAACGTCGCGGCAGATGATACCGCAGCAGTGGTACATCAGTAAACTGGTGAGTTCTTACTGGGATTATGCTGACTATGGTGCTTTTACGTCACCTTGTCACCTTGCATCTGGACGTGCCAATAATAAACAATAATAAATATCAACAAACGTTCAATATCAATGTGGCTGTATTGTCATGACATTACCGATCCTGTTTAAAGTTTTTAAACCATGTATTCTGCCCTGGATAAAAGAGATCATAGCTGCAGTACGTGACGACGATTTGAATAAAGCGCAAGCGCAGTGACTTAATGGCTACCGTGCACAAACCGTGCAAGATTCGACGGACACCCCATTTGCCGATCAGTGCTCAGCGCTCAGCAGGCAACGCAATCTCACGATGCGGCGCATTTATTGTGTTCGCGGACGTTGAAAATGGTGTCAGCGTCACTGTACCGCCGGAAAAATCCGAGACCATGCAGGCAAGCAAGGTCAGATTCGAACCCCAGTAGTCATATACATATATCACCGCTGCTTGATCACTGCGACGAAAACCTTTCCTATATATTGCGATATCTTCACAGGTTCTCTGATGCGTCGCAGCAGTGGCGCAGCATTTTTCTTGTCGCTGATAAAGCAATTAATCATGATTGTGTCAGACTCATCACATATTCCTCGTGTATAGATATCCCGACCAGTCCTCAGAGAGTCAGAGATCATTCAGTTAGTCATGCACCAGCTCGACCCATATATAAGTATCTCAGCTATATCCAACTCATCGTATCTCCCACTTGGACGACTAACATACCATGCCTCACGAACAGATCACCCTTTACACTTCGAAGGTACTGTATACTTGCATCACGCTATGAACCCATCTACTGAAATTGACCCATGCACATACTAGTTATGCCCCTACGCCCAGAGGGTATGTGCTTGTCAGCCTTGACAATTGTGCCTGTCGTCATAACTCAATCAATCCAGACTGAAATTGCCCTCGCCGAGGCTGGTGCTCCATTCAAAAGATACGAGATCGATCTAGGGAATAAGCCAGAGTGGTACGCCCCAAAGGTGAACCCTGCCAGCAAGGTATGCGCTACGCTCTTGCTTGCGAAGTGAGCACATCTTGAAGTAGATTAATCCTAGGTGCCGGCTATTGCTTATGGTGGTCCCGATGTTCCCCCAGAAAACGCTTCTCCCGAGTCTACCAAATTGGCAGAGTCACTTATCCTGGACGAGTTTATCGGTGATTTGTACCCCTCCTCCGGTATCGTACCTGCGGACCCTGTGCTGCGCGCCAAGGCTCGTTTCTTCATCGAAATCGTGTCCATCAAGCTCAATCCCAATTCCACGAAGTTTCTACACGGCAACCCGGAAGGCACCCATGCCGCTCTCTTGGCCGGCGTGGATGCAATTCAGGACCTTCTACCTGAGGGGGTAAAATACGCTGTTAACGACCAGTACACCATTGCAGACATTGCATTCGCACCGTTCTGGGCAAGATTGAACTTGTTGGTGCAGAAGGGAATTGGTTCCTACAAAGACGAGGAAAGGAAGAAATTCTTGAAGGGTCTGGAGGACCCCAAGTATGCAAAATTCAATGGTTATGTGCAAAGATTGCTAGCAAGGGAGAGCTTCAAATCCACATTCGACGAGGTGCGTCCGTTACTCTGTCGATGATTGCTATTATCATAACGACTTGCCGATAGGACGTTGTGGCAGAGGCTTTCATCGGGAGGTTTGGCTTGCCTAATTAAGCACATAAGTGGATATTGTCATATGTAACATACAATGATTGCGCACCGTTAACCATCATTTGAGTGTTTCAAACTGATTTTCTATCGAGTGGCCGATACGCTCGAGATCCCGCGGAATTCGCGTTGACACGTGTGCATTCTACTCGAACTCTTTTCACGCTTCACTTGAGGTCTGTGTTATGAGACTTTTGCACGCGCAGCACCGCGGTTCCAGGGGCGTACATACGGCGTTATCTTGCTCTTTCCGCGGTATCGTTAGCATTCAGAATGCGACTCCGGTATACTCTCTTTCACGAAACATGTCTGTCGAAAACGAATTAATACGAAATGTCCGAGTCCGCATCACCGCATTGCATCAAAGATTCGGAGCGTCACCTTCTCTTTCAATCCCACGCGTTCTAGCCGTAAATCGCAAACCCTGCGACCTGTTCATGCGACGACATCCGAATCTTAGGGACTGAAGTACTGACACTCCAGACTTGACCTACACAGTGTGCAAACATCTAGAACGCTGAAAGATGCAGTAATCACAAAGAGATATCTGTATCGCCTACGGCAGATTGCCCAGAAAGCCTCGCCCGCTTCACCTCCTCGTGAGAGGGTATCGGTGAAGATGCTCGTTTCAAAGCTTCTGTTGGAGACTTGAGCGGTCTGAAGTACGGTTGGGAGAGCCAATGCGGCAGGACTCTGAGCCCTGTCGTAGGCTCGATCGTGATCAAATCGTCGATCATTTGTCTCCTCTTCATCGCCTCCGCAGCATCCCTCTCCATACGCTGCTTCATCTCCTTCGCAATCTCAATATACTCCTCAACGACATTCGACCCTCTTATCCGTCCTAATCTCTCCCTCAGATCGGTCTCCCTGCCCAGAGCGGGATGCATGATTTTAAACAAATGGCCTTTGACCGCGCTCGTCGATGTTGGGGTCTTGAGGTTCTTGACGATAGCCAAGTACTCAAGCGCGAGGTCCGCATGGGGCGGGTGTGCACTTGTCAGGGTTGATGATGGATTCCCAGATGGTGCAGGAGCAAATAAGGCAGGGTTATATAACTGCCCCTCAGCGCTCATCACCCCATCCACGCCGGTCTCTCTCAGGCACTTCTCTACATCTTCATGAAATAAAATGTTACCATTTGCGAACACAGGCACCCGTACTGCCTCTTTCACGGCTTTGATGTGTGACCAGTCTGCGAGCCCAGTATTTTGTCCGCGTTGTGTGCGCAGGCGACCATGGCAAGTGAGGATCTGGGCCCCTGCGGATTCCAGCATTTTGGCGTAAGCCACTGTTTTCTCTATGGAGGGAAATATTCGGAACTTGGCGGTAACGGGTACGGAGAGGTTTTCATGAAGTACGTTGACTGTTCCGACGGATACGTCATTAGCCTTGAAAATTAGAATTCTAATATCAAACAATGATAAAAACACACTCAAGTCATGAATCAGCTCCCACTCGTCCATCAAGAAGCTCCCGTAGTGTCCCTTCCTTGCGATATCCTGAGGACACCCAAGATTTATATCAATGGCATCACAGTGATCTTGTACAGCGAGTGCGCTCGTGAGGAGCTGTGAGGGATTATTGGCACAGAATTGAACAATGAGTGGGCGGTCGTGTGTACTTGAGCCTTCTTCGAGACAGGAAGTATTGAACGCCTGAGCACGATATGCGTGTGCAGAAGGGGGAGAAAACATCTTGGCGTTTATCATGGGTGTGTAACAAAGCTGAGCAGATGCAACAAGTGAATGACAAGGATAAAAAGTGATGGCGATCGGAGACGTACCTGGGCACCATATCGGCGTGATAGGATTCTCCAGGCCTGAGTCAAGTAAACATAAAGTAATAGATAATATACATAGATTCTACTTACCAGCTCACTTTGATCTACCATCGGCGCAACGATGAGCTTTGGGCTACCGAGGATCTGGTGGTAAAAGTCGTATCCAGCGAGTTTCCTGGGGTGATCGGAGGTGGTCTGAACTGCCATTGTGACGATCTTCCGGAAAGTGCGCTCGCGCAGAGCGCGCTTGAGTAGGGTGATGAAGGAAGTTATTGGGAAACCGGTGCAGTAGCCTACTTTGAAGCTAGTCAGTAGTAGTGGGCAACAATGCCTTACACGTGACTTGTACAAAATATTATATTTCGTATTCCCTACATATAGTACTAACGCTCTAAGCTATTCGTATGAAAACGCTCATTTCCCCAACTGTTAGTCGCGCTCAATTTTGACACAAATATGGCGACTTCTTGATCACGAGATCCTCTGCAGGACTTCGATTCTTCGAATACTTCTTTGTGTACCATTAAGTGACTCCGCCGGCGCTTGATTCGATAATACTTGCTACTACATCAAGTTGGATATTTGGACATAACATGCGGCAAGTCTCGCTATTACTCTTATCTCGTTTTACTTTCACATTCACTTGCTGCGCACACGTACAATAACGGTCTCGTATTTTACGTCATCGCTAACGCAGACAGGTATATAGTCCCCCATCCCTCGTCGTTCCACCTCAGTCTATTATACTGAGACTGAGTCCCTCATTTGTCTCTCGCAGCCCCTCGCAGCTTCCGTCCGTGTCTACTCGCATCACTACAAACCATGCACATGCCAACCTGTCCCACTGAAATTTCTCAAATGAACATTTGGAAGTGCGAAAACGAGCGCCATCAATGCGGGAAGATGATAGAGCATAATGCCGCCATCCCCAGGTGCAGAGCGTATTTGAGAGACTACAAGAACGTGACAGAGCGAAAGACAACATACTTGACATGGCATCAGATTATCAGAAACGCTGAGTATGGCACAACCCTGTGGTGAAGCTAACCAAAGTTGAAGACAATCCCTAGGAGAAACGTCGAGGCCACTACGACCTATGCGCGACCCCAGAACTGCATCCGGGACGGAAAGCTGGTTGACTCTGCATCTTCTGCTGAGCCTTATATCGCAATCAGTTACGCGTGGGACATCAGTCCTTCTTTCAAAAAATGGGAAGGCAGGCGTGTCACAGAGCAAGCATTACACATCGCCGACCGACTCTCGAAACACACCTCATATGCTCTGTGGATAGATGCAATCTGCATTGACCAGGACAACGAACCAGTAAAGATGGTTGAGCTTGCGAAGATGGCGGATATATACCGCGGGGCCGCAGCAGTGTTATGCCTTGTACCGGAGATAGACCAAACGGCAAGCAGAGTCGTGGAGCATGGAACCGGAATGATAGATTTAGATGGGTTCCGTGCACTTGAACAAGCTGGAGACACGCATGGGATGTACATGTTCGCTTCCCAAGGCTCAAACAATGCGTTGCACAAGCTTTTCAGCAGCAGGTGGTGGACGCGTGTCTGGACGTTCCAAGAGGCAGTTCTTCACCGCATAACGTTTTTGGTGGGAGAGAAAGAGGAAACTATTCACATTTCCGACGTCCTCAAAATCTCTCACCCGATTAGTCGACGGGCAGCGACACAGAAGAAAGACAACTTGCTGGGGCAATCATCCAGTTTTTGGGACTCGGTTCATTCCATGTCGAACGCGATGAAGGCATACATGCCGCTCGGGACAGCTATATCGAGCGTATGGAGGCGCCAATCTACCGTCACTCACGACATGGCGTACTCTCTGCTTGGCGTGTGTCGTCTAGAGACAATCACACCTGATTATCGGCTTCCGGTGGAGAAAGTGTTCGCTGACCTTGTGGACAAAGCCAGCTCGAAGGGGGACTTTTCCTGGCTTAGATGGAGCCACTTAGTCGACAGAGACGCCGCATGTGAAGGAATGTCCATGGTACCCGTACCTGCAACTGTGTTAGCAACACCTGCCAGTGCTATCACGGAGTGGCGTTCCGTAGAAGTTCCTCAGATGTCAGTTGTCCGTGGAGGAGCCGTTGGTGTTTGCATTCCGCATCGGTCGACTGGCGTTATAAGATGGCAATCACAACCGGAAGACATCAAGGGAGTTATCGACATGCTCCAAAAGCTGTCATACGGCCCCGAAGACATATGGAACTTATTATTTGGCCTACACGTCGGATTTGCGTGCGACGTCGATAGAGCCGTGGGTGGATCTGGGCTAGCTCAGGCGTTGCTCAACCTGGCGACTGGATACATCGACGGCACGATCAAATTGGAGGACTCGGAGGATGATTTGGTGGGAGACAAGCCATATACGAGAGGATACGGGTTCACAGCTTATGCATCCATGGCAGCAAAGGTTTGGAGAAATACGCAGTTGGTTGTGATGCGCTCCCAGGGTGGAACAACAGTGGTACCTACCCACAGCGGAACAGGACAGGCGCGACTGCATAGATTGCCAGTTGAAAGTCATAGAGGGACGTGCCTGTGCCTTGTTGTGCATGATAACACGAAATTTCGGGCTAGCGCAATCGGAGTCATGGTAGAGGAAGATCACGCAGGGAGTGGATCATGGCAATTTACCCGATTTTCTTGAAGATACCAACTTTTTTTTACTGACTTATGCTTGGTGATATCATGATGGATGGTTTGATGATGGATAGTTGACACAGCCACTTGTTCACGTAATTAATTGCTTACTCAACACAAACTGGAAATTTAGTTCTGCTTGTCTTCAACGTCAACGACGACGACAGTCGATTGTTGTTCGTGATTTTCTCAACCTTCTCCATCCCTAACCAAATTCATCCAATGTCGGGGAGACCAGGAGGCAAGCCAGATCTTTCTGGCTACAACTATGGTGCTATTTCATCCCTTGTCTTGACCGCTGACAGGTCCGCTCTGCCCAGGAGAGACAGAGAGCCCGATGGTGCCCCTACTTCCCTCGCAGGGCGGATTGACCCTCGCGAGATGGGCTCACGCGTTCAACGTCAAGCGCCCAAAGATGTTGAAAAGAAGAAGAAAAAAGCAGGAGACGCGGGCAAGCAGGAAGCCCCAGAAAAGGTCGTGAAGCGACGTGCAGAAGCTGGTTTCGGGTACACGGACATTATCGACGCGACACAAGATGTTGAAGGACTTTCATACCGCCCCCGTACTGCCGAAACCCGTGAGGTATATGAAGTCATGCTATCCACGGTGCACCAGGTGCTGGGCGACCAAGCACAGGACATTGTTCGCAGTGCAACTGACGCCGTCCTT